TCCGTCCGTCAAACGGCGGTGCAATCGTGCGGCCGCCGGAGCGTGGAATGGCAGGAGAGGGGACCAAGGAATCGGATGATGGGAACCGTGGTATCAGCTAACAGGCCGCAATCCCGTCCGGCGGAAGCTCTCAGAAAACAATTTGGGTATTCGGAGGACCGCGTCCGAGAACGGGATTCCGAGAGCGATCCTTGGGTTCCTCGACCCTGAAAAATGAGAAGCGCATCCACATTTCATGCCAATTCAACGAATGTCCCGGAGCGAAATCTACGCGCGGATCAGCGGTAGATTCGAAGCTTGCCCCTCAATGAGACTGCGCAGGCGCTGTGGAAGACTCCGTCGTACATACTCGTTGACGAGTCCCAAGGTGTAGCCCCTTACGACGTGCCCGAAACGTGACGCATTCCGGCTAAAGAGTTTTACGAAAATTTTTCGAGCACAGATTCCTCCCTTGTTCCTCTTCATGATCAAACTGACGATCCGCGATTGATTTGAGTGATGGCTCGTCCGTCCGTCTATCTCTCCTTCTCGTCTGTCCATCGATCGGCGAAGCGTTTGTAGGGCCGCGGATTCTTCGTCGCCGCATCGTCGTCGAAAACCTTGATCGGTTACTAGCCGAAAGCTGGTTCGTTCCATCCGACCTCCTCTTCAAGCGTTTAGCGCGAATTGCGGCGTTTTCGAGCGGACCCGTAATTTTCTACTATCCTATGCACCGAATCACATGCCTAAAACTCTCGATGTTTCTGACTTGATGATAGGTGTGAGTGGAGCTCAGCCAGAGAAAGTGAAAATTCATCCGAAGCCGAAATTCCCTATCCATATGACGGGGCTGATGATGATGACGGGCTCCGGTGGGATGAATACGCGGTATGTGAGTCCGGTGCTTGAAACGTCTCGGATTCCACAACGTGAGTCCGACGGATGCTCGCTCGTCCGTGCCCACCCCCCCTACACTCCCGTGGAGTCTACAATGGGGCTTTTGTGATTGTATTCTCGCGGCCGATTCTGCATATCCGCGGGTACTCTGAAGCCCTATCCACCTTTCCTGATGCTAACCGAGCGAGGGAAAACCTTTGCGTCCCGACCGCGTTCGAGTCGGGATTCAGAACCCTCTCCACGATTTTGCCGCGTCTGCCGCTCCTCCAAACTTCTGCTCGATCAGGTTCGACTTCGAGAGCTGTCTTTTAGTGGATAAGGTATTGAGCCAATCTGATCATCGATCCAGATCCGCCGAACTGGAGCTATTCATTTCGTTGACACTGTCCATTATGGTGGACGATTGTGTGGCCGGGAGTGGTCTGAACTACTTCTAATTTTAGGTGACTCTTCGAATATCATAGTTTTTCAAAATGAGGAGCTCCCGCTCGCGAGGAGTCATGTTGACGAGCGTTTTGAGCCCTCTTTTTCCTTACGAGAAGATAGACGGATTTGGCTTTGGACCGTTAACGGTGCGTAGAAATCAGGACAAAAGGTGTCTATGGAACCATCGCTCGATTTATCTACATAAGCACCGCCGGGTGATGATGGCGAGCGCTTATAAAAAGCAGCTAATGGCGATTCTCTGCCGACCTTCCTCGCTAATGACGTGCGTCTCATTACCAGAAGCGTTTCATCGCATCGAACCGTTTTTTTCCGCCTCCGAAATTCCGATCGTCGTGTTCGTTGAGCGACAAATTTCTCGTCTGGTGTCGTCAATGTCTAGCATGCACGATTGCTGAGAATATTCCCCTAGACGAGGAACTCCCGCGGGAATCCCGTTCTAGCTCTCGCTCGAGCAACCAAAAGAAAGGGAAGAAGAATAATCCGGTTGACATTCGAAACTCGGAATCGATAAGTAAGAGAAAACCACCTCAGACATCCGAAGCATTCCGGAGCGCTCACGTCATTTCCGCTGCGGGGACAGGCGAATATCTCTCACATTTGCCATCATTTGCAACGGCTCAAAATGAGCGCGGTTTTAGAATGAACTTCAATTCCTTCCTGTTCGGCGTAATGGTTCTTGGAATAAAAGACATATTCGTAGCTAGGAAAAGTAGGAGAAAGCGAAGTGAGCAACGAGGCGACAACGCCTGGACGACTCTGATCCCATCCCTGCTAAGACACAATCGCAGCGAAAGAATGTTGAAGGGACCGATCCACGTCGGCTCATGCTTTGGGGAAGACACGCATTCGGTCTCTAGGCACGTGTGGTTTAGTAGATGGGGAAGGAAGTTTTTCATTTCTTCCTTCGATCAGAGGAAGAAAATGTGCCGCGGAGAAAAGAAGCCGATTCCATGTCGGGAATACCCCAACAATAAGAGCACCGCGAACGTCAGCGTCAGGGCCGGGCTGGAGAATAACAACAAAAATATTTCTATTTAGAACAATGATGCTAATGATGATGACAGTGATCTTGATGATGGAGTAGTGAGCGCTGCGTAATTTTTCCACCACTGTTGTTACCGTAGTCTCGTGCGGTCCGTGTCGACGTTGAATCGGACGCACCGTCCGTGCATCCGACTGTGCAGCGGGACTCGAGGTATTCAAAGGGGACGAGCAGCAGACGTCTCCGTAGGAGGAGATGGCGAGCGGGCGACATTCCCGTCGCACAATGACGCCTAATAAGTCGTTTATGTAGCCAGCTCGGCGGAATCGCTGCGAAGTGGCTCGACTTACGATGGAACAATCTTACTATCTGGTTTTGATAGACTGTTTCGGAGTTGGGTTTTTTTTCTTCCCTGGCGCTTGTCAAAGCGGAGCTGTAGCCGCAGCGGCACTTGTGGAATGTCTTATTCTTTTGCTGGTGACCCTCCCCGAATGCGGTCAGTTCGGGCCACCGCAGTGCGTGGGCGCTTGCTCGCTGGATCTTTTTAGTTCTTAATGTGCCTCTCGCCCAATAATCCATTCACTTATGGCCCGACCTATCCGTCCGTCCCTCTTGGAGGGCCCGGTTGAAGGTCACGGAGATTTCCTCGGAAGTTTCCTTGACTGGAGTCTTCACCGGGGTCCTAGAAAACTCGTCGATCTTTTTTGGTGCTCGAGATCGCACAATAGGCGAGAAGTCGTCAAAGTTAACGAACGTGTCCATAGCTCTCAGGCTCCATTGAAAGGCTAAGAGCGTGACCAACGAACAAGTCAGCGAGCTAGGCCGGGAAGCCGAAATCGCAGTCAGCCTGTCACCGGTGATGGTTGCGTTGGTGCTTCGGTACAAAAGTCAATCTGCTTTGGTACAAAAACATTTGCTGATGATGGAAAGCTCAACTCAAGAATGCGGCGACATTCGGTGAAACGTGAACCGCAGCGCGCCGATACCAACAACCTCCAGAGCACTCGAAGGGTTTGTTCGATGAGTCGATAGTGGGATTATACACCGATTGAGCCACTCGCCTCCGTGGGAACGATTATTATGGATCTCGACTTGGAAACTATCCCCAACAGTGGCTCGGAGAATTTCCTGCGGCCTTTATCACAATTTGTAATGGTAATGGTAATTAATTGATCTAGATGGGTCCTCTATGTATATTACAAGATGGCGCATCAGCCTTTCATGTCAGGCGCTATTAAGCAGATCTTTGGTCTCCTTCTCCCATTTTTCTAGGATTCGTTTGGTTTTTGCTACGATCGAAGGGTCCTGTATTTCCTCTTGGAGGCCTAATCTTGAGAGGAAATCTTCGTCCGTGTAGTATGCGTCGTTGCATTCGAAGATCACATGTTTTACGGTCTCTTCAAATGTTCCGCATCTGGGGCAGGTGTCCTCCTGCTGTGGGTCAATAGACCTACCTCGGCTTTTCGTTGGTAATATTCCCGCTCTGGCCAAGGCCAGGAGAGTGTCCCCTCTTCGGTTTCCGTAGAGGAAGGTTTGGATACCGAGGCTGTTCTTGCCTTGCCGGTAAACTTCTAGGCTTGATTTCAGCAGTCATGTCCTGTCTCAGACACTCTCCTGGGTCTCTCTAATTTTCTTTTTTATCTGAGAGTTATAGGTATTCAAACATGGTGCTCCCGAGATTGAATATGCAACTTCGATTGTATCGCAGTTGTATGTCCTTTTCAGGTGTTCCGTTCTTTCGTACATCTTTGTTTGTATGCCCACTATCTTCATCATGCTCAGTAAGGCTGTTGGCCACCTGTCATGAGACATGACTTCGATTCTTTTCATATACCTCAGTTTGCTTTGGGCTTCCCTCCCTTCAAAGGAGGACCACCCGAGCTCGCCGGTGATAAATTCGTTCGCGGTTTTATAGGATGTGATTCCTAATGCCCATTTCCCCGCGTCTCTCTGCCGTTGTTCGAGTTTTGCGAGTAATTTCCCCGTTGCAACGGTTACTGCGTTTGCGTAGGTCAATTGTGGTACCGCGGTTGCCTTCCACTGCGTTCTGGAAACTTGTACTCGTCTATGTTGCGATGACCCCTCGGATGAGCGCTCGCCATACCACGCGTCGCTGACCTTTAAGTGTTCCGATGGAATTTGAAACAAACACCGAAAATTCCGCTTATGTGTCATCAGAGGCAGCGGCGGCTCTTGAGAATTGTACGGTTTACGTCACGCGAGCTGCTTGAAGCTTCGCCAAGTTCGAAGTTATTAGAATTTTTATGTGCCGTCTCTGAGTCACGGAAGTGACTGCTGATATTTGGAAGAGTAATCCTCTGAAAGCGAGAAATAGAAAGCGAGAATCGAACCTCAATGGATGGTCGGAATCGCCGAAATCTATCAACGGTGTGGATTCTTGATCCGCGATGTTCCGGACTTATCTTGTCAATGACGCCTGCGTCAGAGCCCCGCCTCGAATTTCCGTTCCGGAGGAGCCCTCTCGCGGGGTCTTTCGAAGAGCATGCCTTCGTGAGGGATCCACATGCTGCGGGAATGACAAATAACTTCACGGATTCGAAGGATCTTCGCGAGACTCAGAGAACGTCGCTGAGGTTCTTAGGATATCCTCTCGAGAGTCCTTTTTTGCCCGAAAGATAGACGAATGACAGTGTCGATTCGCGGGATACTAAAGAGAAGTTTTTCTATATTGCAGATTGACCAAGCCGCAATCGTTCGCGGATTGCATCGGTGATGAACTTCCTTTCGGATGGGACCAGCGTTACGATCCACGAATCGGTGTCTACTTCGTCGACCACAATGCTCGTGAGTATAATTATAATGCGATTTTCTTTTTGTCCCTTCCCGGCAGTGCTGCGGGCCCTATTGGGTCACGACGTTCGCAGGCGGAGTCGGAGCGCCAAGACAATGATCAATATCTGATTTATAATTGTCGTCGCATTGCAACGTCAACCCATCCCATCGATCATGTTGAAATCGAACGGACCCGCTCGGCGCACATCTATTCTGAGCGTTCCTGTTTTTGAAAATCAGTTTCGCGTGAATCACCCCTTGGTAGCCGAATAATCGAATTCAGAGCTCGGAAAAAAACGTTGATTTTCCGTTTCCAGAGCGAAACCAGATCGAGGACCCCAGGTTACAATGGAGACAGCTACAGGAGGCTATGCTGAAAGAATATCTGCTGACAGCGCAGGAAGATGTTGCCGCGAAGAAAGAAATGATGGAAATCAAGAATCATAGACTGGCGATAGCACAAGACGAATACCTATTCCTCAGTTCGCGACTGACGAACATGCTCGAGGCGGCTTCATCCACAAATCTGGCGGCGTCGAGTTGCACGTCTCTCAACTCGGTCGCGTCGAACGCGTCGAGTCTCACCAAGTACGACCCGGACCTGCTGAAAGCCGACGTCAGCCTGGCTCAACAACGGGTTAATCGACTCAGGAGCGAGCTAGAACAAATCCGGAGCGACCTGACGCATCAAGAACAGGGTCTTGAGGTGCTGACGAATATCGACGAAGGTCTCGTCAATAGCGGCAACGTATACACAAGCGACGAGGCCAGGCTGATTGTCGAAGAGCTGGTCAACATACAGAAGAGTCTTTCTAGTGGAGAGAAGGAAAAAGAGGAGCTCATGCACAATCTGTCAAAAATCAAAGACGAACTACTGAGGATTTCGCAATCGAGCACGAGCGTCGACGACCGTTTCAGCAGCGTCGAGTCGCAGACAGAACTGAGCGGCGAGGAGCCTTCGCTCGGAGCTCGGCTTGCGGAAATGGCGATGATGAGGTTGAATTACGACGCTGCCCGACGGGAGGTCAATCGGATTCAAAGAGAAATCGCAGAACTCGAGAATCAGATGGCTCCAGGGAAAACGGAAAGCGATCATGACAGATTGTTGCTGATCCAAGAGAAAGAGCAACTCTTGAGAGAGCTGAAGTCTTGCAGCAACAGCCGCAGACGGGACGAGAACGAAACCGAGATCAAGAGACTCACGACTGAGCTCGGTTGGGCGATCGAGAGTTCGAATCGGGCGATTTCGGACCGATTGAAGATGCACGAGAAGAAGACCAAGCTGTTGCAAGAGCTTAGCGACGCTATGAGGCACGCAGCGGCTCTCGAAGATCGTCTCAAGTCGTTATCAGCATCAACGCTCTCAATGAGCTCTAGCTCGAGCATCGGCTCCCTGTCGAGCAAGGAAGGCTCCGGCTCGAACTTGAGTTTCACGGATATCTACGGATTGCCGTACGCGAACGAGAGTATCGCGACGAGTCTTCAGGATCTCCATCGCAGAGTGATGACCGTCGATAGCGTCACAACGAAGCTCAACGAGGTCAAGCTCAGGGAGCATCTCACGCCAATCATCGAGACCCCCCGGGGCTTCGTGAGCTCAGCCGTTTCTGATGAGTCATTCGCAGGTGATTCCGGGGTTTTCGACGCGAACAACAACGGAACGCCCGACTCCGAGTATCAATCCACTAGCGTGGACACGCCCCAGATTCAAGTGAAGCTGAAATTCTCGGTCGAAGACGAGATCCTCCTCGTAGGAATCGAGAAAGCCCACAACCTAGCGGCGCTGGGCATCCCGGCGGGTTTCCGGGTGTTCATCAAAGTCGCCTTGTACCCGTGCTCCGAGGACACTTGCCTCACGTATAAAACCGACCTCATCCGTGATCTCGTGAAGCCGGCGAGCATCGGGGAGATATTCCGATTCCCCGTAACGTTGAAACGAATCCAAACGCAGACTGTCCAGGTCAACATTTGGGGCATCGGACCTTTGAGTCAGGAGGAGTGTCTCGGGTGTGCTCAAGTATCTCTGGCCGACTTTAACCCTGCGAGCTCGAGCACCAAGTGGTACAACGTGTTGAGTTTCCGCTTCTTGTCGCAAACCGCGGGACAGCCCGTGGTCGAGATGGTGGAAAGCTCGGATGAGAGTACTGTCATATCGTCCCAGACGTCGACCCTGACTCGCGTCGAGGAGCAACCGAACAAGACGATTATCGAAATAACGGTCGTTCCTGAAGTGAGATCCGCCGCAACGAACACCGACGTCGGATATCTCTCAGCTCTGAAGAAGGTGAGAATAAGCGCCCATTTGGGAAAGATCAATGATTAGCAAGGAGTTCCTCGATTCATCTAAACCAGTCCATCACCATACCGGGAACTCTTTCCCGAAACGTCATTTCATCTGTACCTATCTCTTATTGCAGAAGGAGTCCCAGATTTCCAACACCCCGGACTCGTTGTTCATACAGGCCCTGAAACGGTCCCAGACTTTCACGATCAACCGGAACCGCATCATGTGCCGTCTCAATCGAAGTGATTCGGACAGCGCGATGCCTCTGTACAGTAAGAAAACGCCGGTGTTCCAACGCAACACCGCTGAACGACGTAGCCAACGGTGGAGGAAGATCTCGAAAGTTTCGCCTGAGGACAAGAAGATGCCAGCCGACGCTTCACGAACGTCGATCGACCTCGCTCTCGACCTTCAGGCCTCCAAAGTTCGTCTGAGCCATCTGAGGGAGGAGCTCTCGAAGCTCAAGTATCTAACGACGGTTCTCGAGGATTCCCGTCAGAACGGAACCGTTCCCGAATGGCTACAAGAGGAGAAGATGCAGCGCTTGTTAGAACACGATCAAAACTCGAAACTGGTCCAAAAAACCTCACGAGACATCTATCGCCTGCGCAGAAGCATTAGCGGAACTGAGCCCGCCAACTTGGCAATCTTCAAGTACGTGCCGATAAGTCTTCACTAAAAACTTGTTTCTTCATCGACGCCGGAACCTAGTGTTTCCGTCGAATTCAGGACGATATTCTGTAACATGCATCACCCGTGTGTCGTTCCGATAAGCGAGGGTCCATTTTTCATCTTATTTTCTTCCTTCCGCAGAGAGAAGATGGCTTTCTTCACACGGCCATCCGCCAGCGCGCTCCCAAACGTAATCGCGGGTCCGACCGTCAAGTCAGATGAGCCCCAGACTCGATACGAGTACACCATCGATCCGGTCTACGGGGTCCAGGTCTGAGCTCCATGAATGTACATACCTACGGACAGAAGATCAGACTACAATACGACAAGCATGCGCCAGTCGGCGAACACCGAGCCTGATCGCATCAATGTGCCAACAACAGTCACCAGTCGTGACGCTGAGCGTCTCACCGATGGGTGGATTGGAGGGGTTGTTCGACGGAGACCCGAGCCGAGTTTTCGATAGAGGCCGTCGGGCATCGAGCCGCCCTCGAATTGTCACGACGGATCGGAAATCTGTCCACAGATTATTTAAAGATCTTTCGACGTTCTAAATCGAGCTATGAGCGATGAATGACTTCGAGTGGAGAATTTGGATTTTGAAAAACTCAGGAAGATTCCGGTCTGGCTTCCGGTTCCTGCTGGCGGGAACTCTGGGCATTACTTTTGGACGCGTCGTTTACGTCCGAGAACGGAACATAAAAAAGGAGCGATTCTCACTTTTGAGTGACTTTATGTCAACGGAATGATTTTTCCCATTCGGGAACCATGACCGAAGTCGATGTATCTTCTTCCTCGACGTCCAGAAATGATCCCGGAGATCACCGCGTCGACGAGCTGGGCGTAAATCCGCCTCGAAAGGCCTACAGGCCAACACTGTGATAGCAGCTGCAAAAGAAACAACGAGTAGTGGAGAAAATGGAAAACGGGAACCGTGAGGGCCCGAATGACTGAGATATGAAGAAAAAAAGGACTCATTTTTCGGAGCTATTAAAGCTCCGATGATTCGTTCCGAACATCTTTGACTCATGTTCAGGAAATCAGTCTCAATATCAAGAAACCTAGCATTGCCAGAACTACCACCCTCTAGTCTTGAAATGAAAACGGATTCTATTTAATATACCTACTTATTTATTGCTCGGAGCAAAGTTTTGTGGTTGGCAAGTTCACGCTTCGTACTAGAGGGATCTCTTACTACTTTAGTGTACAAGCGAAACGAGCCTTGGTCCTTCAAGGGCCTTGGCGAGGTATCGCGCAGATTGCCTATTTAAATATCCGCGGATTTCACTTCTCTTACCAGCAGCGGTTCACACCATCTTCGAACCAAAAGCGGTTTCCAAACCTTGAATCCATCCAGAGAATGCGTCCCACCACCAGCAGTGATATCGAAAGAAAATCCTGCGATTCCGTCGCTTTTCAATTCCAAATTCAAAGCTAGCTCTCATCATCGCGCTCGGAGAACTTACTTATGTGAGAACAATAGTAAACTCAGGCTTCGCAAAAGTTTAGAGCGAGAATAAGGGTTTGTAATTCAAAGCTCATGATTGAAACGTGTCCCGCTGCCGGCCCAGGGCATCAAGCGAGATCCGGCAGCGTTTCCTTGCAATAATGAATTCAAGTTCAAGTCGGAAAAACTCCACTTCAAGATAACGATATTCCCGATGATGATGATGACTCTTCCAGTCGTAGAGTTCTATTGACGCGTCTGTAGTATGTTGGGTCAATCTAACTTTCGGCTGAAGCGTATTACATCTCGTGCAATATCAGATGGTTCGCCTGCTAAGCTGCGTCTTAGCGAGGATTGAAATCCGCATCAACTAGTCAATGACGTGGTGCCAAACTGAGCGAGTTGTCGCCGAACGATGAGATGGGGGTGCAGGACAGGAAACTGAAAATTAGCGTAATAGTCGTCCTGGCCGGGCCTTGTCCGAATGATGATCGGGAATAATCATTGAGTTCCGTTCGACAACAACTCTCCCAGAGAGGGGCCGCCTCTCGACATCTTACCGTAAACGTACGCCGTTGCCGCGGGGTAACGCCGTCGTGACTTGTGCCATTGTATATAGTGGGGCAGCTTGAGTCAGTTCATTTAAAACTTTATGCTTGCTCATAATCATGAATTCATCATAAAGAACAGAACATATCTATGTACGTTCGAAAATTCGCGTATCTCGCCCCTCTCAGAACTACCCATTTCCTCCTCCCCCCTTTCTTCTGAATACCTCCTCGAGAGCATTTATTTGGTCGACGTAAGTTTTCTGTCTCATGCTCCCTTAAAAATGTTTCCGTTCATTGTAGAAAACCATCTGTACTACTGGAATAAACGAAACCTGTCATTCCGAACATGGCATCGATTTTTTTTCTCACGCCGCTTTTCAACGTTTCTTTCCCGAGGAAAGCGAGTCTGAAGAGAAGGATGACTCATTCCGCTCTCCGGAGACTCAAAATGCAATCCTTTCTCGACATGATGTTCTGCCGCGGCTCCGCTTGAATCAGCATCACGAACAAGCTCGTTTGTCATTGAGTCTCAAGGCATTATTAGGATCGATGTCAGAATATGATATCATGCGTCTAATTTTGATTGAGGCGGGCCCAAGCGTCATGGCCGCGCGTTTTCTGCATCTTCGCATTCTTTGTCTTATAATGACGCATGGTTCGATGGAAATTACTGTGTTTACGCTCGAAACTCGATATCCCCATGGTACTTGACGTTATCCTAATTCATTCATAAGTATCTCGTAGAACAATCAAGCTCGACTACTCTCAAATAACACAGAACGCACAATGGACGCTCCCCATTGAGCTGTAGCGTGATCGAGAGCCATCGTGATCCGCTCGGAGAGCAATCATTGTTTTCATCGGTGATCCGAAGAATGCTCCCTCTCGCATTCCTTCCACCTGTCTCAGTAGCTGTCGACCGACACCTCGAGATTATTTATCGCCCCTCCTCCGGAGTAGACTCTAGAGGCAGGACGCTGAAGGGGAGCGCAAGCTGACAACCCGAATTGCAGGTCTCGGCTTCCGAAGTTGGCACGATCGTAGGCAGCCTTTCCTGTCAGCTTCGCGTGATCAGGAGATTGTCTTCATTTTCTGCTACTCTCTTGTGCGCGGTGCTTGTGCTTCCACTTCTCACGAGCGATCCCCATATAACGAGGGGATCACTCCTTTCTCTCGTCAGAGACTTCTCGGATAGCTTAATCGCGAGCTCCACTCGGTGAGTCACCGAAGATCAGATGTGCTATCGGAACCCTTTCATGCCTCTCGAAGTTCCAGACTTTCTTCATGAGGATCAACGCCATGACTTTGACAGGGAATCTTCAGCGGGGCTTCACGTGACGCCTCTCGTGGTCTTCGCAGAATGTTGCGGAACACAGTTCGTTGCTGCGGTCTGATACCCTTCTTGCTGGTCATCGCGGTCGGAGCGCATCTTCCGAGCACCACGATCAACGCACGACCGGGTTCTGGTCGTGGCGTCTCAGGGACCTTTGATGGAATGACTCGGGGCCGTCCTCCGATGGGTTTCGGCCAGGGAACGGGTGCCCGTCGTCCAGGTGGTTTCCACTCGGGCATCGGGATGGGCAGCACGAACTTCAACAGAAGATTCGTAAGGTGAGTCTCAACCATTGTGGATTGAAATCGGTGCGTAGTAAACGAATCGATCACGAATCTGGTCCATTCCAGTCCCGTGGCAGGCCTGTACCAAGAAAGAGGCGTCGACAAGGATCAAAGGCTCGCGAGGTCCAGGATCTTGGACAGTCGTAATTCATAGGCTATGCTGGATTCGAGGGAGTATTGCGCTCGACTGTGATCTGCGGCTGATCCTCTCTGGCAGAAGAGGAGACAGGGCGGCGGAGAAAGCCGTCGGTGGGATTTGTCCGGAGAGTTTCGATGAAATAAAAATTGCTCCAGCCCCATGATCTTGACAACTCCCGGAGATGTTCCTTTGATGACTTCGGGCACTCCATGGGGAGAGGGCAGGGCTCGCGTCCAACAGGAGCACGAATGATTCATCTTGGACCTATCGTTATTATTATCCGTGTTCCTCTCGTCGATGAATTGATCCGTCTTCTCTGACTGAGCGAAACAATATAAGCGCCAGAATGTTCCACCTGGTCGCCCCGAAGCATCCTAGGTTCGATGTCAAGGTTTTATGTGTGGCACTCTCTCTGAACAGCTTCAATTAGACGAGTCATCGTGAATTTGCTTCAGTGTAGTCGTCATACGGGCGTCGCGTCGGAAGCCTTGTCGTCGGTCGTGATGTGTCCTACGCTTAGGGTGTCACCCATGACTGGGCTCGAATGAAGTCGACAGAGCGCTGGCTTTGCCGACGTTTTTCTCCACGCAGACATTTGTTGATACTGCCGCCGACAGTTGCCGTGAACGTTGCCATCGAAGCGATTCCAGCTCACAAATCTTCGCTGTTTCCTCGGACGGAGTGAACTTGTTCGGTCCGTGCAAAGAGCCAATCCGCGACCGTAGTGCTAGCATGAGTGTTCCAACCTTCCAGCGGAGTTCGGGATTACGTATGGGTCGTCTCCGCCCCGAAGAAACCAGCCTTTTCTGATTCTCGAGTGCTTCGGCGACTTATCATTCCTCTGTGTTAGAAGACCACGACACCTCTATGGATCTCTGAGAAGGTTTTCCTGAACAAGATCCCCTTGTGCAACGAATCATGTTCGCCGTCGTGGGGGACCGCATCCATAGGATCATCAGCACCGCCGCTTCCCCGACCAAGATCGACAGCCCGCTTTTCCAGTTGCACTACGGTTTCACTGCCGTGGGACTGCTCGTGTTCGCGGCGTTGAGTACGTCAACAGAGCACTTCGGAAATCCAATCGACTGCATGTCGAGTTCCTCGCCGGCAGTGATTCCACGACGTGCGCTGACTACTTATTGTTGGATCCATGGAACCTTTACGCTGGAACCTGATTTTGATACGTATTCTGCGCATCCAGGTGTTTACAAGTATATTCCTGATGTAAGAGGCGTTTCATCCGGTTGCAGTTTCTCATTTGGAATTCGTTATGCTAGGACGAAACATATACGCGTCCGGTTTCTGTATGTGACATGAATTTCAGGACGAGAATTTGACGCGGACCCATCATCTGTACTATCAGTGGGTCTGTCTCGTTCTTCTCGCCCAGTGCATATCTTTCTACGTGCCGCGATACCTCTGGCGATTGAGCGAGAACGGGTTGACTAAAAAGCTCATGTCGGGGGAAGCCCCAGCGCTTGCCAGGTAGGGCTAGCAGCAACAAGGGGAATTCAATTTCATCCTTGGACATGTACATATGCGTCCTGAAGAATATTCTCTAGTACCTCATCAAGTCTCTGCAGGGGTACGTCCCTCCGATACATGCCTCGCTTCCCTCATGTCGATAACAGGTTCGGGATTTCTCTTCAGGTACCTGATGTCGCATCAGGACTGCCATACCTTCCTTGGGTTCACGTATCACGCGTGCGAGGTCATGAATGTTCTCGTGCTTTGCGGAAACTTTATCCTGACTGACCTGCTGCTAAATCGTGAGTTGATCGGAATACTCGAATGCCATCGACTGCGTCGAGAGGCAATATCGAGACCGCTTGTCACGGCAGGTCATCGTCGGAACTGCGAACCACTTATCCGACATGGATCCGAATATGAATCCCGAACGACGTCGAACGCGCCAGACCCTTCAGCCTTTTCACGTAATAATGCTCCGGATTGAAGTAATAGTTGCGGGAGGAGCGTTTTCTGCTTGTGCTCACCGTGAATAGCTGGGCTACATTTGATTGGATAGCGCAGAATATTTCTCCGACAATATACTGGCTGCCGATATCGAACACAGAACGAGTTTGTGTTTCGTTGTCCAATAACGCATGGAATCAGACTCGGCTGTTCGTTCATCCCTATATCGTATAGTCTCTTACGGTCGATTCTGATTTTTCAGAGAAGTTCCGTGGTCTCGGTCTGTTTGTATTGAACGGTGGAGACCTGGCGCGGATATTCCCGAGGATGGGGAAATGCACTTTCCAGATGTTCGGACCTACGGGCGAGATCGAACGCCACGATTCTCTGTGCCTCTTGGCCCAGAATGTTTTCAACGAGAAAATTTTCTTCGCTCTCTGGTTCTGGTACTTGTTCCTCGGTGTTCTGACAATCATGAACATGTTTTACACTCTAACTCTGTTCTTCTGCATGGAAGCTCGTGTGCATCGGATCTCATTCGTCTGTCCCTCCCTGGCTTCATCGAAGACCCGCATAGATCGGGAAAAAAGACTCGAAACAGTCGTCCGGGAACTACATTATGGGGAATTCTTCGTTTTGAGATTGTTGAGCAAGAATGTGCCGGCGCAATTCCTGCCCAAGCTAATAAACATATGCTACGACCTCATGGTCGAGAGGCGTAAGGACTTCGGTTACAAGTTCCAAATGCGGAACGATCTCTACTCGAATCGTGAGGATGAATCGAGATTTCTGCTCGCAAAACCCTGAATGTCGGATCCGAGATTAGCCTCGAGTACGAGAGACCTGAGTCGGAATAAAGTTCGGTTCGGAGGAACTCGAGTTGTCCTTGTTTTCTCGTTTCATGCTCAGTCTGCATTCCTTATTGATTCCTACCGTCAAATTCCGAGCTCACTCTCACAGAGAGGCCTGGCGGAGGACCCAATTATCTCTGTAACTACTACCACAGCCCAGGATCATGATACGAAGGTTGACGCCGACCGAAACGATTCTGATAAGCATCTTCATTCTGATTTCAACGATCCATCTCACAGATCGGCATGCTATGGGAATAACTGCACGTCGCTACGCACTTGATCACAGGGAAGTCTGGGCCATGGGCTCATTGAGGAGCGACCTAGCCATCCAGGAGCGCCACAGTCGGCCTGAGACCTTTAGGACCTATTCGGCTCAAACCAACTTCAAAAAGTCGTAAATTTAGTCCATCCTGAGCGAAAACGCTTCTCTTTTCGGCTAGCTGCCGGCGAGTCGCGGGCGAACAGCTCGTCGTCATGCCCGCCTTGGTATGACGGGGACCATGTGCTACACAGTTCTCTGTTCTGCAGCCAGGCGGCAGAGTTTTTGATCTCATCGCCATCCTTCTCCACCGCCTGGCGAACTTGTTTGAAACGGTCCGACAGACGAATCTGCTCGCATCAGACCCATTGTAATACTTCGTCTCGTCACAGTTCGCCTGCGTCATATCGCAATGTAACCTGGAATTCTCCAAGGACTGATGTGAATCCGAAAGAATTGCTCCGAGGATTTATTGCCCCGTGCCTGAGTCTGCTGAGAATTGTGCTCAGTTGCACATTGCAGGCGAGGCTTCGCCTTTGTTCCTGTGGCCTCCATCGTCTGGGGGAAATCTAGAAGAACGTCCTAGGAGGGATAGCCGAGTCGGTAAGCGAACCCTCAAACGTCAACCAAACAGTCCAGGCGGTCAAAAGCGGGAAAGGTCGCCCGGCTCCCGAAATTCAGGGCACCAGACGGTGTTGCCTCTCAGCGGTCATCCGCTGCTCGAGCTCGGTTCCCTAGAGCTAATGCGTAATTTCTGTGCGCATAGCGTCGACCCTATCGATCAGTCTGAATCGATTTTCGTGAGCTTGGCATGAGTTTCTGAGAGCTTCAAGTACGAGTGCGCTGTAAATCCGGGAGCTCCCCCGTACGCGTTAGTCGCTCCAGTCAGGAGATCGAGGCCCATTGGGACTTCATCCTCGACCAAGGTTCGAGCCCACGAACGGGCTACGGAATCCATCTCGGCGATCAGCGACTCCGAAACCCACGATCTCACTTCGTGGAAGGTGTTTTCGAGGTGAAATCCGACTCTCTGTCAGCATCCCGGAAATCGCGTTGGCGAGAATTGCTGTTTTGGTCCAGGGACAGGGAGAAGCCCAGGGACGTCTCTGAGTCACCGCTGCCACGCATGCCCTCAAGTTAATTTTTCCTTGCAGCTGCAACCCGTTGCGGAATCTGGCGCTCCTTCAGTCTTCCGTTACGCCATTGTGTAACTGAGCCTATCGAACATAGTCTGACCTCTATAACTATTCGATGATTGCCATCAGTGGCAGAGGACAATCGATCTGCGAGCGGACGCGTCTTCTGTGAGGAAGTTTCCTCTCACACGTGTGGGTTTCCTGAGTACGCAATGAGCTTTTTTGTCCACCCTGGGTGGCCTGGTTCATGAAAATCCGGAATCTAATCGTCCGAGATAAGGATGATTTTCGCCGCCATCCCCGACTCGTCAGAAACGACGCCGATCAGCACCAGCGCGAAACTCGTAGCTTGTATCGCCGTCTTCATCCTTTTAGGAAGCCTAATCTCAGCCATGGGCTACTACCTGATCAGAAGGTGAGTCCTACAACCGATGGGATGAGAGTTCTGTTGTCATTCTAATTCATTTCGAAATCGATGCACAACTCATTGAGCTTGATGAGCTGAAGCATGACATTCATCTGTTCTCAGAAGAAAGAATTCGAAGAAAAACCGAAACCCCCGATTCTTCAATTCGACCTCACTCCCAGGATCACAATCGAAGAGTCGATCGATTTCGTGGTGCCTGCCCTTCAGTCCCCTAGAACTCTGATGGCGGGCGCCGGGATGTTCGAGGTTTGATTTGCTTTGATGATACTAATAATCGTACGGCTTCCGTCGAGCGTTGTTCGCTCCTCTGACCCGATATCTTCGGACTCGTCAAACTCGGGGAAATTCTAATCACGGAATTTTAACGCTGACAGTCGGGCTCGACGGAACAACTTCAGAAGAATCTCTACGAGCCCACCGCTCGAGCTTATCGCCCACCGAGCATAGGCTTCACCGTGGAATACGATCGCGAGGTTAGCTCGACTCTCACCGTCCGATTGAATGGCGCAAAAGACATTCCACCGTCGAAGGTTAGTGTGAAGAATTCTCATTAGAGGGTTTCTGGAGGGAGGAGGGACCTCCTCGGGATTGGGTCCAGGAGAATCTCTCCTCCGATTTTAGTCGTACTGTGGGAGACAGAGTGATTCGCGGGATTGATAAGCGAAACGCTCACCGTGGGAACAACCTGCGGGAACGGCGCGCAGAATCGTGCCCGGATCTCCGCGGGAAATTCTGCACCTAGCTACATATTCAAATCTGGAAAAAACGCGCGGTTATCACAGCTGGTTTCCGGAAGCTTTGCCAAAGGAAGGAGCATCGGTGCGAACACGTGGATGAGAGTACCACGGGAGTCCTTTAGGATTTCGTATAGAGCGGAAATCGAAAGATTTCGAAGCGAAACTCGGTCAACGCGCCGGGGAGGACACGCCTCAGAGCCACATGTTGACAAGCACGAATGCCTCCCGCTAACCCAGATGAAAGTAAAGTTGAAAACTCCGAGAATATTTGGAGCTCCAACCCGGCGACAGGTCGCTTCCGGTGGTTTCTTTCCCCTTATCCTCCATCCAGATTGCGGAGTATTCCTCACTGGGCGCCGACGTCGTGCCAAGTCGAAGGGATCCTTGGGTGAGACGACGATGATCGTTCTCATCGAATCGGAGCTTTGCTTTCGTTCCGGATTCCCGAACCTACTCAATTTCAGCTCGGAGTCAATCCCATCGTGAAGATCTCTCTTTCACCGGACAAGATCAAGCACGTTTCTCGACTCCAAAGAGACACGATACGCCCCGTTTTCGGCGACGTTTTCCAATTTGATCTCCCCGAGGACGCCAACATCGAGACGCGATCTCTGAAGTTCACACTCTACGATCAAGACAAGCTGAACAAACGTCCTCTCGGGAGAGCGGTTTTCCCTCTGAAGAAAACAATGCACCAATCAGAACGATGGATCTCACTTAATGTTCAGCAGGTAAAGCAGTATTTAATTTGAGCCTACTCCGGTGACCTGGATTCTCTCTATCTCGAGCTCCACATCTGTCTTATCTTCGATCGGGAGCAAGGTTCTACTGAGAGACTTTGGGTCGGAACTTCAATGAAATTTTCTGTTTTCAGTGCAGAGAGCGATCCTACGGCGAAGTCACTGTTCAGCTCGAACAGAATGACGCTTTGTTCGTTTGTTCGTTGCTCTCCGTAAGAGGAATTCCGAACGATATATTCGTCCACGTCAAGCTGGGCGTTTACGTCAATCACAAGCCATACAAGAAAGTGCGCTCCAGTGCCTTCCAGGCTCTCGGAGGAATCATGAGTCTGAAGGAACGGATCGAACTCCAAAAATCGGATTTCGGTCGGAATGACTTGTCTACGCTGCAGATCATTGTGAGTCTCCATAGCAGGAAGAAACGGCTAGCCAAATGCCACATAGGCCCGAGGAGCTCCGTCGACGGCATGGAACATTGGGCAGAAATGCTGCTGCGGAACAACGCGATCAAAGCGCATCGCTTTCTCTCGGGCTGAGTCATCCTGGGGATCGGGAAATCCTGACCGACTGGGGAACGGGGAGATCCATAATGAGGCGGACGAGATCTGTACGGGAACGTATTCAAAGCTCTGTTCAATTAGGTACACCGACGATTGTACATAGTACAATGTGAATAAAGCGAGAGCCGTATCGCAATGTACCGGTGGGAGCCTTGGGATCGATGGGAGACGACGTACCCTTGACATTGGTGAAAGCTCCAGCAAAAATTATCGACTTCAGTATTTATTTTCAGACTTGAGCAATATTTCAGGCATCTCACAATATCTAGGGAGGTTGTCACAACGACTTAATTTCACTTCTTCCTGGATTCGTGACGAAAGTATCTCTTGTCTCTCCTTCGATTACCTTCGGTGGCTGAGAACATCTCCAGCTTTCGATCTGGATACAACAAGCTCCTGCGAGTTCTAGCGTCATTTTGATTTAGCCTAGCATACCTAAAGCGTATATACAGGTGTGGTATGAAAAGTTACACTCGACCGAGTGTCGTGTTGTGACAATATCAGTCCTGACACTGACTTGGTGGCATTATTCACAATTTCGCGTTATCGAAAGCCATGTTGATTTTCCCGTTTATGTGCTTCGGGGTGCTGTTGAAGGATGCGATTCCTGTTTCCAAGAAAACTGAATTTCGTTTGCTCTCGATCGGAGGTTTTCGCTTCGTGCTCGGATGGTGGCCCAAAGGATCGAAACGGTCTTGGTAAGCTTTCGTCACCATTCTGTCCAGCGCGAGGAAAGGTGACTCGAGAGTAGCCGAGAGGAAGAACGCCGCTACGTACGCTGAGAACAAATGCCCGAGGTACAGGTAGCCCTGAAATGAGATCAACCACGTTTATAGTCTCAACGAAACGGACCATAAGAAAATGCGTCTCTCTGACTGACTCGGAGACGGCAAAATGAAAGAACAAGAGCATTGGCCGGGTCTGTCCTGAGATTCTGGGTGTTGCCCGTTGGGGAGGAATGGAAGCGAAAGAAGTTCGGAATCCATCGAGAATCAAGATTATTCTAATTCATGAGAGACGACATTCGTTCATCGGATAAACCTAATCGACAATGCCAGAATCAACATCGAAGGAAGTGCCCGAAAGTTCGCCACTGGTGAATCTACTTCTGAGATCACCCTTGTCCTACGGGCGCCAAGAGCACGATGTTATTGATGATGTCAGACTGAGCGATCGAGCGCTAGGATCGACTCTTGGTGAGAGCAGGTATAGTGGCCGTTCGAGCGCAAGTGTTCCGTGGACACGGGCGGGCAATCCGCCACGAGGAATCGACTTTCGAGCCGAGTCTTGCGAAACGTCCGGGCGATCTGCTTTCGCTCTCATGACCAATTTCGCCAAAATCAGCTCTCACTCACACAGCCGTCGAATCGCCCCGCAAGGCGTTCCTTCCCGCAACTCCAGATACGAGTGTAGCAAAGTCGGCGGTCCGAGCGCGGGAAGTTTGATTGAGTTTTCGCTCTTTCTCTAGGAATGCGATGCTCGCGGAGAAACTTACCGTGAAAGGTATCGTAATGTAGAAGGGTTCTCTTAGGTAGGCAGTATGCCCTAGGATGATGAGAGGATGTACCAGGTAGACGAGGTAGGTGAGTCGAGAAAGGGGAATCCATGCATTAAACGAGAGGATCCTATTAATGAGTCCACCATTCCCGGTAGCGCACGCGTAAACGGTCCAAGCGATACACAACGACCATACGAGCCTGAACAAGGCTCCGTAGGCAACTCCAACTTCTACGGACGGCGCTTCGTAGGCATTCCAGTTGCGGACTCCGAATACCATTGCAAGCTGAACGGCCCACACCAACATCCAAATCGGAACCCTGAGCGCCTGTTCAAATGGGAAAACAATGAGCGATGACCTCCTCATAGAGATGTCCAATAATTAAATCGGGGACGTATATGTCGTCTATATATAATCAGACTTCAGACGGATTCGACAGGATTAATACTTCGGCATTCATTCTCACCTTGTGGATTCTTCGTCGCTTCTCCTTGTACAGGATATAGCCCAGGGCCACACCGACGCAAAATGGCGCCAGGTGAGTGTATGGCTTGTAACCGATTATGTTCATGTATTCATTGAAATGATCGGGGTCCATATCGATGAACAGGGGGATCGGGGTCAATTCATTGACGTAGAGGAGGGCACCGATCGTGATAACGGAAGCGGTTGCGAGACCGAACAGGATCAGGAGCCCGACCGCTGCGCTCCTTGGGGGAGAAGGACGGAAGAATTTGTCAGTTGAGCCCAGGACTCCGAGAGAAATCGCCGGATCGAAGGGGGAATCATGGGAGCCAGCTCATGAGAAAAATCGATACAACTCACTTGTACAAGAGGTAAGCAATGAAAGGCAGTATCAAGAAATAGTGGAAGTCCGACGAGAGGTACCAGCCGTGAGGGAGACACTGAAAATCATGGGAACGTTGTAGTATGTAAATTCTGCGAGCGTGATGTACTTTGTTTACACCCGTTCAACGTTCCAGAGACCGAGCTGAAGCGTCGGTGTCCAGAAAATTCCAGATTCTACGCCAGCTTCGAGAGCGCCAGAGGTGCGACGTCTGCGGGAGAAACACTTTCGTTCCTCCCGAACCATAAAAAATTTCCACTGCAACTCGGGATCCCGTGTTGTTCAAATTCAGTTATTCCGGCTTCTGCTCGAGCATACCCTCTTTCTCTCCGGCTCGGGGGAAATACTTATTTCTGACCGAAAAAAACTGCGAATCTTCTGTTCCAGACATGACGAGTGCAAAGATCAAACCGGAAATTTCTGCTTGATTTGTTAATGATTTGCGATTCCACCCCGGATATCAGGATAGCTGCGGTCAGCGGATACGCTGACCGCAATCCGCTTCGCCTCGACGCTCCGAGGAATGCATTTTCCAGAGAATTACTTCTCGCCGACTCTTCTGTTCCCTCCGCAAATGCTCATAATTATGATAATCTGGAATGTAATCCAGTCGAGCGCAACGATTGGCATTTCTCGATATTCGGTGAAGCTTCGGGAATTTAGTTCGCGTGATCACTGTTTCTTATCCCTATGTCTGCAGGGAAGGCGTAGAGCGTTCACGCATGCTTGCGCGGACTTAGACGTTACAAAGCCCCTCAGAGTCCGTGTCGCCTGGACTCATGAATGCCCTCACCATGTTCTCTCGATGGACGTAGGCTCCGATGTAAAGAGGATTCGTCCACCAGCTGTTCTGGCACGCGTTAGCGTACGGTTCGAGAGTTTCCTTCCATAAAGGTCCGGATCCCGCGAGGGGAAGTATGATCATCAGGAAAGAAACAGCAACGAAAGCCGGAGTGAGTCTGCAATCGAACGATGGGGAAAATTTACAATCATAAGGGCGAAAGATGACAAACCCAGAACTCGTTGAGGAATCTTCGTCTGGACGAACGCCAAATGCATTCATTAGGACCTTGGAACGAGCGACTGAGTGGAACATATTCCTGCCTATCGACTGCAGCGTCCCTGCATTGTTTATGTTCCATTGGAAGTCGTTGATGCTTCCATAAGTTTACAGTCTCAATTTTCTTTCGCTGTTGCGTTGCTCTTTCCCCCCTCCGTTGGTCTCGACTCGATGAAATCATTTTCTCATTGAAGTGCTTTTCTCTTGCTCATTGACCGACACTTCAAGAGGGTAAGTGTGCGCCGAGCGTTCATTTGAAGTATAGAGTCGCGAGCCCGAGAGGAAGAAAATTCACCCTTCGAGCTCGAGAGGAGCGAGCAAGAAATCGATGAATTACAGCAAGAGGGGGAAGCGAATGTATCGGATGGTAGCGAATGCGATACAACCATCGGCCGATATGCAAATGGCTGTCAAGCTTGTTCAAACGACCTCACTCTGATGACGACAGTCGAACGCACAAGGTCTGCCGGATTCAGAGACCGGGACTTTTCTAAAGGCATCTCTGTATGCGAATCGATTCCCAACATGAAAGACCGCGCGCTTACCTCCACCATCTTCTGATAATATGCCGAAAGTAGCTGAACGAGCCCTGGCGATCCTCCATCCGGGAAAGATAATTTACAGTCAGAACGCAGCCGCTGTGATATAAGGATGCGTTAGCAGGAGCTCTGGACTCTATCATGCGCTTATCATGGATTGGATGCTGAGCCCCCATGACCCCCTTGGGAGCCTCCATGTTCTCATCGGAAAGTCATTTTTCGATCATCGCGTGTCAGGCAGCGCGACTCTTCGAGAACCATGAAAAAACACCGATCACCGTCTACAGGCATCGAGTCCCGTCGTGAGCTCGCCGCCCCAGCTAACCCACACGGTCTCACACCGAGTGAGGCGGCACGACGGGACTCGTTTCATCGGTGTTTTCTCCATATTCTCTGGATACACCCGGGAGTGCGTAGTGGTCTCTGCTGCCTCGCGAGAATAATTGAAATATATCGTCATCAATCGTGAGAGATGATACTTACGAAATCGTTACGAAGGTCTCCACAGCGGGGAATACGTTGAAGACCATCTGGAAGGGAACACTCTTCCCCAGCGCTAAGGCTTCGACGAAACCGCCTGCAAACAGAGTTCGTTCATACTTCCATCTTTGGGATATGCTTTAGAATCCTGTTCCATCTAGCTGCCATTTACGCAACTGCCCGATCATTGAATATGACGTTCGGAGAGAAAAACGTCGTTAACGCTGATGACGTTCCAATTTTCGAATCATTTTTCTCGTCATGACTTTCTCTCTGTCCCATCAATATTGAGTAACCATTTGCTTTTGGAACGGCGCGACGATCACTCCGTTCACGTCAAAGAGCGGCTGGAGCTCGTGGGATAATTACAATCTTCGGAACAAGACAGATACAAGGAGGTATTCCTGAGCATACTGAGTCACGGATCCGACGAGTAGTTTGCGGCTGACGGATCAATTCTGAGTCGGCAATCAAATTCACATCTCCGCCAGCCATTATCGTGCTTGTCGGCGGCTAGAGTCTCTTCTCCGGGCCATCTACCTCGTCGAAATTATACGATTAATCATGGGGCTACAAGGTCGCCCTGGCCTATTGCGATCTCGCGCATCCGTTGCATTCATTCATACACTCGCATACCGAATCACCGATTGGAAGAATATGCCTAAGAATTTTATGCGAATTTAACAGATAATAATTCTCCTAATTATGGGTACTTACTTCCGAGGTTGAAGTTTTTGTAGAAGAACGTGTGGCCCAAGATGATCCAGGCCATGGTAATTACTCGAAGACCATGAACGCATCTCAAAGTCGACGGACCGGTTTCGGTGTTCAAGATCTTCAACATATTGCTGTACACCGAGAAACATTCGGCCACTTGCTCGACCATGTCTATTGGCAGAGGAATTTTGACATTAGCTTCAATAGATATTGAGATGAATTTTCCGCTACGTCTTCCCGAGCCAAGGTGTCATCGCACGCAGGCTTGCAACGACCTCCGAGCTCGACACCGATAAATTACGCCCTGTTCAAGCATGCTTGAGGACGCAGCGTTTTTTCTTTGGCGAAAAAAAACTCCCGAAAAAATATGACTGGATCAAGAAGAGAGGATCGAAAAATGAGCTCATGGTTCCAAGGAGAAAGGAAACGCGATCTTACTCTGCTGTCGGAACGTTGCTTTTTCGCCGTCGGATCTACGTGCACTCCTCATCAATTTCGGTAGGACATCGAGAGCAGTGCCGATTGCCGATAAAGCCAGAAGGCAAATGAGGACCGCCGAAACTGTCATTTGGGTTGAGGTCAAGGGGGGCGAAGCGCTGTCTTCGCACCATTGGACGTCGATTTCGAGAGCAGCAATACTGGCCACTGCAAACAATAAAAACGTTTTCAATTTTTTTGCGATGATTGATCGCGAGAAAGCCCGAACTAAACGGGCGATGCTCCTGTTCCGGGAAAGGTGCTGCTAGATGTCAACTCGTGTCAGCCGTCGCGAGATTTTTCGGTATCTTCACAAGCGGAACTCTTTCGGATGAAGACGTCGGCTTTGCAGTTTGTATGCATTCGTCGTCATTCGGAGGAAACGGGGACGCAGAAGGATGTCTTCGGAGAATATTCACCACATCCTTCTGCGTGTCTCAGCGATGCTGGCGACTTCTATCAGTCCAAGAGACTAGGACTCTGAAGGAGCCAAGCTCGCAATCGATTGAGCTGCATCATTCGGACGGGTGGATATTTCCCCCCTTTCCCCATTCGAAATGCGTCTGTCTCCCGTCGAAGTATTCTTTTCGTAGCGAACTCGATTGACAGTACTCACAGTATACCTAAATACTCCGAATATTCCTGCTTGACGAGGGAAATGCAAAAAGACCGTCGCTGATGTCGTCACCGACTCAGACATTCCGTTCAGTTGCCAAGTCTATCATTCCTACTTTTACTCTCCGAAGAATCAGAATCCGATCGGAGGCGAACCGAGCATCCGAGAACCGGCTGCGACGTTAATCAATCGTCGTCGAACGTTCCTCGACTGCGTTCGCGATCAGAACTTTCGATCGTTCGGGATACGTCCGGAAAATCGAGGGTCGTCTCCCAGCTCGCCCGAGGTCTGTTTCACAGCGATGTCGTTCCGGTGCCAAAAACATGCATGTCTTTGTTGGTCCCGTGTTCTCGCTGTCCCGTGTTCGCGAATGCTCACGCTGGTTCAAGTTCGGGAATCACGAGAAATTAAAAAACCCTGTATTGACATTCCGATCGCTGCCAACGAGTTTCCACCGCGTGTCGCTCACGGTGAGAGTTCAACGACCCGTCCGATCCGGTGGGATCGATCTGTTTTATGAGTTCTCAAGACTCGGAGTTTTGTAAAATGATTTGCGGCGACGATGGCTGTCCCGACCGCCAATCGCACCATTGAAGCTAAGCTCCGTCGAAACATCAAATCGCAGATAATGAATCAATGTCACGGAAGCTAGCGACGGAAGCAACGGAGCTGCCGTATCGTTGCGGACAGAAACTCTCGGGGACGTTTCACGTTGATACTACGAAATTTGAGAAACCTAGAAGATTACGTTGGCTGATTCAGTGGAAATTCTCTCCCGGCAGCTGCTCATGACGAAATATCCAATATGTCTTTGACGCTCGGGATCTCAGATGATTTTATGGCCTAGCGAAGGAGACAGCTCCACCTCGATCCCCGGTAGATGGAGGTCGGGGAGAAACAGCGCTTTGGAAATTCGGGAATTTACGACCTCAAGAGACACTTACGTTGTCGGACAAGGGTGTTCATGTCATCGATTGTACAGGTGTGCGGCACACACGCACCTATTCTGAAGTGCGCGAAGTAAAAGTATGCAAGATTCATGTCTGGTCCGAGCACATTCTGAAATTTACGCAGAAAAAGGATAAGCGTTTTGATTGATCTGAGTTCTGACAAGCCTACCAGGCGACCTTTACCATCTCGAGACTTCGGATAAGCACCGTTCGATCCGAGGGGCTGAATATCGACAGAAAACTCTTACATCTAGACAGCTAATGGGGAATCGTAAGCAAGAAGAAGAAAAATGCCCCGTCATCTCCCAATACAGAGACCGAAGACAAAGAAGACGTCAGTGCTCCGAAGTTGACATTGTGTCTTTCGGTATCACGTCGATATAGGTGATGGAAAGTGGGACGACGGCAATCAAACAAACGGGGAGTTGCTCCTAAAACTTTCCACACCTCACCTTCAGAATCGGAATTTCGTCAGTGTAGTTTTTGAGATATGTTCGCGGATCGTATTTCGCAGGTTTCGGGAAGTAGAGATGCGGTCTCATATTGATGGCGCAATATTTTCCCGTGAAAAATCTGAAATCGAACGAGGAGTATGCCGTCATCATGACCCGCAGCGAGTTCCGTGACGCGGAGCGAGGCACCGGAGAGAAAGAGAATGCGAAGATCCGAGATGAACGATAAGAAGAAATCCGAGTGATCGGAAGAGCGCTCGCTGCACGTATTCGAATGCCCAAGGCGTTCGGATGAGCAGAAGTTTCGAAACTTACGTATCGATCTTCCCATTATATTTTTTCTCCTGAGCCACCACGGATTTGCACTCCGCCATGTTTCCGAGCGATGAGAGTGCGCCGTACAGCACACCATGGGGTAATTTGCCCCAAGAGTCCAACACTGTAAGAAGAAAAACAAGGTGGTCTACGTGAGATGCGCATCCTCTTTCGTCCGGAGTGTTTGCGAAAAAAAGGCAGGGATTGTCTCGCAAGCAACGACGAGAAAAAGGTATCGGGATATATATATTTATTCTGTTGTTTCCGAAAAGGATACGGTGGCTTTGGCGAGCGTGGATGAATATTGATGAACCCACAGCACGATAAAGCAGCGATAAAGTCGCGTATGTTTTCGTTGAGCAATTAGCGATTGGCCGCTGAAACTCTTATCGGATTGCTGTGGTGGCTGATAACTCGCGCCAAGAATGTCTTTAATTTTTGCTTTTTTCTTGTCCCTCTACTCACTCGTCTTCTTGCCTAATGCCCCCCTTTGCCAGTCCGTGCCAAATGGCGGGCTGAAACTACTGACGGGCGACCAGCCCACCACATAGTCTTCCATTCATTCATTCTTCCAGTGAAATCATCCATGACTTTTTCTGCATGCCCTCAGTTTATTTCGATAAGAACCCGAACTATTATTTAGCCACACTGAAGTTACGCAAAACCCAAGGTCACCGGCTGCCCAGAAAAAAATCGAACGCGGGAAGAACCGAACCGAGATCTCCAACGGTCGGCATTGCATCGCGATGGGGATATCTACGCTTGAATGTTCTCAGAGGTCGTCTCTCATCCCGCAAAGGCAGACCGAGATGGATGCCGCGTAAGACAATCTTCTTGCAAGAATTGCTGCCACGCAAGGTGTGATCGTTCGACATGATTGTTGCGGAGTCGAGAAATGGTCGGCGATCCAGTCGACGCCGACGACTTTATCGGGGAAAACGACCCACATCATCTGCAATAATCAGACACGGATCGGGTATCACGTGCCTTGCAGTACTGCGGATTCGAGATTATTGTGTATTTACTTCCTATCTCCCCTCAGTCCGTGACTGCGAGCAAGATCGAACGATTGAACGATACCTGCCAGAAACCTGCTCACGTGACAATCAGAATTCGTAAGTTTTCCGATCGCCTGATTTTCCGGGAAACGCCGTTTTATTCGAGGCGTTTCGTCGGCCCCACAATCGATCGACCATCGAATCAAATGCGCAAAGAACATGCAATCTCATTGTGAGCACTTGATGTTCTGCAAGGTGAAATCGGCGGCGAAGTATTCTTGAAATATCTCACTCAAGCGTTTGATGCGCGACCCGACGGCTGCTACTCTACTCGCTGTTCATTTAGCATAAGTCCGACGGAGCGGAAGTCATCCTCGATTTACTGGGGTGTTCATCGCTTATATAGAGGTCAAGGACAGACGGAAGTAGTTGTCGTCGTCCCTACGGCCGCCGCGGCTGCCGCCGTCAACAACGAGGTCGATATCCGTGACGTTGACCGTAGTGTCCACCGCCCAGCACTGACCGGGTCCCGTTTCATGAGGGATTCTCTTTCGGAGAATGACGCAAGGCAATCATGGAATGGGCGACGCATATTCAGTAGACATTGTTTCCCCGGACGCGCACCGGATGGCAAATCACTTTAAACTGATTCTGAGTTTGCGGATGACTTAATCGCATGGAAAAAAAGACTCGTGCTGGAAGTTTCTTGTTTGCGGCGCCAAGTACGCGCTCTGACTCAGGTTCCGATCGGAATCTGATTGCGTCTAGTTCATTTGATTGTGGAGGTAGATTCGCTGTGCTCGAGAAAGCATGTATTGAATTTTCTCCTCGACGACGCCATGGTCCGCGAATTATTCCGCTGGAATTCCGCTCCACGTCCGCTCCACGTCCGCCCGACGACGGCATCAGCTCTGAAGGAGTGAGTCGTTGAGACTGCCGTAGTCTTCGGGCCAGCAGCTTGATCAATTAGTGTTCGTACATGAACCTTCGATGGTGTGGCCATCAGGAGAAATGTCTTTCTCTTATTGAGCTAAGCGTGACTCAAGACCCACAACGAGACCCTACCGTGTTTCTCGCCGTGGAGTCGTGTACAGCAATTTCTGTTCGCGATGCTCGTTATGCTAGCGGACCAGAAACGATCCTGGTCGGTTTTTCCATGCCGGAGCCGCCTCTTGGCAACGAGCTCCGAAGTTTTGTTTTGAGACAGAGCTTCTGGACGGATCGCTGGGAGGCTCATCGTTGGCGGCTCCTGACTCCTGAGCCTTGGGAACTTCGCTATTCACCTCAACTTGAGAAACAACGAAACACTGCACGAGCCGCATTTCAAGATCAAATCGAGGGCTATCGCGTTTGGCGAAAACCTCGACTTGACGAACGGCTTCAAATCAAAGCGTTGTCAGACGGTGAACTTCGATTCGCTGGAATGCTGGAGCGCCGTTCCGAACAGGAAATCGAACCCGGAATTACAGGGGGAAATTACGCAAACTATAGCGGTCGCAACGCGTCATCTCGTCAAGACAGAAAGGGTCAAAAACTCTGGTGCCGTCGTCGGCATCACCGCCGCGGCCGTCTAGTCCCCGTAGCGTTCTACCGCGAACGTAGAAACATCAGTGCGCATTCATCCACACCAGACCATCCTTCCCATTGAGTCAGCGGCACATGCAGGAGGCGACAGAAATTATTCGGAGCATCTGTGGGTAAGAGCTCTCCTAAGACGCCCATGGTTCTGATCTCGGTGGGCTTTTCGAAATTGATAATGCCCGAAAATAAAAATGTATCAGATTTAATCGCTCGGCTCTTTATGTTAATCTGTGTGTTTGTTGTTCGCGTGCTGTTACTTTCCTCTCGCAGCTACCTGTCATTAGAGAATTGGGCCCCGCAGAATATCCCTGAATGAAATTGTACCGAAAATATTCGCCGTACTGTTCTGTGCAAGCACTTCCGAATGAGTTCCGTGACACAGATTTTCGTCCACGTCAAAAACAGAAGAAAGTCGCAGACGTAGAAAACCCCGTCGATGTCGCCGCCGCCGCCACAACTCCGGCCGTTAGGGCGGAATCACCCAGAGTGTTCGCTTCGAATGCGATCGATCTTTCGGCGCTTTTCTCTTCCATCCACGAAGCGAATTATGAATAAAATAAAATTATTACGCGTCTGCAAGTGAGTGTCTTGGAAATCTGAAGTTTGGCGTGAAAATCACCTGTGCCTGAAGGGGCAGCAGAAGACAGCAGAGGCACTCAGAGCAGGAGAAGAAGCAGCGAAAGTTAGATCGAGGAAAAAAGCTATTTCTCTACCGGAAAAGATTCGCGCGGCTGCTAGTGATCGCGAGAAGTTGTCGGATCGTCGACGACCAAAAGTTCAGCGCTTCCGATGTGAAAAGCGGGGAGAAAAACTCCCGAACGCTTCCGAACACGTTATACGGCTTCTTCTGTCGCTTCGGTAAGCCACCCTCACCTACAAGGTCGGCCATACTAATTAGGAAATGTCTCATAGTGACTGTTCCAGCCATCTCATGCATCAAATCTGTTGAAGACCGACGTCCATTCTTTGTAAGCTACCGAGCAAGCGAGCGAACGAACAAGTAGGGATGTAAACTAGCAGACAGACGAACTCGATCCATCATTCATCCATCGACATGAAGTCGCCGGTCCGAGAAAGAAACCCCCTCGAACAGCCATCTCGGCGGCTACCCAAAGCCGTAGCAAAGCCGATTTGATGTCTTATCGCCCTGGATTCAGAGAAATCATCGTCCCTCGTTCGGTCCGACTTAACAGAAATGTTCGAACGGCTCTCGACTATTTGTTTTGAAGTTAGTCGCCGCTACAGGCAGCTCCCCGGTATTGCATATAACGCCCCGGTGACTTCGATGTCCAGAACCTTTCACTTCTCGTGGTGGCGGTAGCGGGGCCACCGCAATTTCTTCTGATTCAACCCGAGAATATAACGCCCCAGTGTGAAATGAGAGGAAAGACACGGGGCCCGCCACCGCGGCAAGAAAAAAAGTGAGCTTAAACGCACACGGAAGTGAATTGGAGCTAATGAAGAACAAGAAAGAGCGGTGGCGCGAACGCGCTGACAACTCACTTTTGATTGACCACGGTCGGAATTTCTTCAGACCGAAGGCGAACTTCAGCAGGCCGTAGGTGCAGTCCCCGGTAATATTGAGTTCGTGGATGTCTCGCACAAAATGCGGCGCGATGTACTCCATAACGTCGGCGGACACGGCCTTAATGAGTTTGCTCTGTTTCTCCGAGTAGTACTTGAATGGATTGGCGGGGTCGGGTCCTGGATCCGGGGTTGTTGTTTCTTCGACGAGGAGATCTGGCTCGCTCTCGGCTCCATCGTCCATCGATGACTGAGCAAGATTTGGAGATTCATCACTTACGAGTTCCTGGCCGACTGCCGTACGCGTGACTAGACAACAACACACCGCAAACGCACTTAAACCAAACCAGCGCATGGTTGCTGGCCAGCACCGGGGAGCACCAGTTTCAGCGGATTCTGTCTCAGCTGCTCGCTCAACTCAACACCGAGTCGCTGTGTGACAACTAGAAAATGATGTGAGTACACTCTGCGTTAGAACTGGAATAACACATGGCATCGAACGAGCGCGCTGATCGCTTCCCAAAGCGCTATTTGCGAGACTTAATCTGAAGCGCGAGAAGGAAATTCGGAAAGGGAGTACCGGCCCGGTGGCACGTAAGAGAACCAGCCGTGCTTTCTCGACGACTGACTGACTGACTGCTCGCCTGCCTGCTCGTCGTCTGACGCTTCGACCAGCTCGACTTGGACGAGATGAACTTGAAGCAAAATTTCGACTTGTGGCACAGGCGATCGGCTTCAGCACCGCCACAAAATTCAGAAAATCCTCATCCTCCTCGCCCTCCAGATCGATCTCACCCCAATCGGTATATCGACCTGCAGCACGTTCGCTAACGACGGGGGTTCTGACGAGAGAGAAAGGGAGAGAGGGACGAAGAGAACCCGCGCACCTCGCTCGAGAGAGAGTACCCCTCGGGAAGTCACGTAAGCCACGTTCTCGAGTGTTCGGCTCGATGCGGATACTGGGACGGTATCTTAAGAGGCTTTCGGTCTTACGTCGAAAACATCAGAAATCGACTGAGTCCGCTGGTCGTTTCGTCATAGAAACGTCAGAAACGACTGCGCTATCAGTGTCATTGAAACGCACCCAAGAGAAGATACCTCAGTGCAACATTGATTCCACGGTAGGGAAACACTTCGATCGGAATTCTGGAGCGCTCCCGTCATTCTCATGCAATCTAACGGGGATTGTCGCGAGACGTTCGGTCGAATCCGCGCCATCGGATCAGATCTAGAGCAGCTCGACAGCTGCTCGCCATAGCCGCTCGATCGGTTCTCGAAACCCTCCGCGAAAACTCGACCCGATCGATGTTCGCTCAATTTTCTCGAAGGCCGCGGAACCGCATGTGTGCGTTTTCGGAGTTGGAATCGGATTGAGACTCTGGTCCGACGGCCCGTCATGAGATCGATGCCTCTCTGAGCGGCCGGTGTCGCGAGGGTGCCTCGAGTCTTCAGAAAACCTTGCTGAACGTTCGTTCTTCTCTTCGGCGACTTTCCTCGCGATGTTCGGATTGAGATTCTCCGCTCGAGAGCAAGGCCCTCTCTCCCCTTGGACGTAGAAGATTCGCCTCAGCAAATGGCTCAGTAAATGCTTTCCCTCGCTACCCTATCCCTTTACATCGGTACGAGGTGATTCGATATGTGCATCTTCGGACAATTTATGTCCAGGATGTACGAACATCCTTCGAAAATCCCTTCGATCTGTCTTTTCAGAAACAAAAGTTTTATTCTCGTTCCGCCGTTTACGTCATCGCAGAAACTTGTTTCTGGCGAACGGTAGGTTTTCACTTTGAACGAGCTTCGGATATCCCTGGCAATTAAGTCCGTCGACCCGCGCCGATTCCCGGCAGATCTTCTTCGAAGGAATTGAGTATCGTCCTACGCCAGGGGGGCCGAGATGACTGGGCGATGCCTCCGGTCGCTATCCGTCGGAGTGTCAACCAGGCAGGAGATCAGGTTTCCAAGCAGAGGAATTGACGTCTATCGCTCGGACTCGGAGCTCGCACCATTCCGGGACAGGAACCGGTACGCGTCAAGACGCGCAGCTGACAAGGTCGCGACGAAGTTATGCTATTTAGCGTTCCGGGCAAAGCTGATTCCTCATGGAAATCAGTGGCTCCTGTCCGAGATATCCGATGCACAGAAAATATGCAACGGAAACGGAAGCAACGTGATAAGCTGAGCATTCCCGGAGAATTCTACCCGAGTCAATTCGAACGAGTTTGATTCCTGGGATGGCCGCAGGTATGCCATAGGGTCGGCGGATCGAGTTTCCTCTGGGTTCGTCTGACGCCAAGGAATCGTATGAGAGATAAATAAACGACCGCTCGAGAATCGGTGCGAGTGGACCGCGTCGTTGACAATCTATCGAGTCAATCACGGGAGAGGAGCTGGTGCGACAGGAAAACATATGTATGCATATTCTCTCCTTGGAATGCTGAGCACGCATCGCTTTTTCCGTGAATCGTTCTCTGGATGTCCGACGGAGAGACGCGGTGGGGTCTTCGGTTTGCCAAATGGACTTGGTAATTCTTCAAAACATGGACAACGCCGATTGAGTCGCAAACACAACCTCGACGCCCATCCCTCGACGTATTCGAGACCTGAACAAACATTCATTTCGGCGCTTTGCGCAACGAGGATGCCAAGGTCCCCGAGACGATTATTTCATGACGTATTCCTGATTTATCAATAGGCACTCATCGTTCTCCGCTAGCGTATCGCCTGTGAGGGCTCCGAAGCGACAGAAAAAGCGCAGACCTACAAACATACGAACGAAAGAAGAGACGGTCAGAAGACGGGACCTGCGGATGGGCAGACGGACGCGGGGATCGCCGGAGAGACGCCGAGGCGATGCGCGCACGAACGCACATGAATCGCAGGCGAAACAAACGGGAATCCGATCTGGTGAAGAAACCACGAGGATTTCTGGGAGTGGGTTCGTCGTAAAACCCCGCTGGATAGGAGGATCAGAAGAAAGCTGGGATAGAGGATCAGAAGAAAGCTGGTGGACTCCCTGAGCGCCGGCTCCGTGGTTGTATCAGCAAACTGTGAGCGCCGAAGGAGAACGGGAGGCAACAAGCTGGCAAAGTCGCGAACCCTTGTGCTCATCCGCTCCGAGTCTGAATCGTCCGCGAGTAGAACACTAGCAGAAAATCCGGTCGGAGGCGCCAAGAGTTTTGCAAGTCGAAGGTACTTGTACTGATCTCTTCTTTCAAGGTGTCGGACTCTTCGCGGAGCTACCCGAAAAAAGATCTTGTGGGAATCTTGGAGATCGCTCGTCAGATAGACATATTCAAGTTCCTTCTTATCTGGTTGGCTGTCATCGGAGATTTTTCTGGGAACCCAGACCCTAGTGGCTCTTTACGTTTCCTTTCGGAACTTTGGGAATTGGCAACGTTCACCAAACCACAGATAAGTGGGTCACTTAAGTAGAATCGGCATAGATATAGAGAAAGAAACATTATTCAATAACGATCTCTCTCTACGTGATGAGGTTTATGTCTTACGAAAGGCGGACGTCTGATCTGTGGTATTTAACCAGCTCGTCGAAGAGAGACCGATGATTGGATTGAATCGATATGAGATGGGATTCGAATGAGGGAAGACGAAATTATCCAGAAAAAGTTCATTCGGAGTTTATTGTTACACATTCCAAATCTATTTCATCAACTGTCGTGTTACTATCTATCTCGGATCTGGGGCATCTGTTTGATTACGCGAAAAGTGGAATCTGGATTTATTACATACAAAGTAAAGAATCAGAAGAGAGGGAATCTGTCGGACTCGTCTGAAAAATCGATCGACGTCTGTCCGATCAATGAGCGGATTGAGAGAGGAGTGTTCTATCTAGAAGCTTCTACCTATTCGGTTTTTACCTAATTGGTGGTGTTCGCTCATAAAATCTACATTTTGCTTCATCGTCGAGTATTGCGCCCAGTGACCGACAAGTGCTCCGCTCACTTGGCGATCGGAATCGAAGCTAAACTGCTGATTTTAAATAAATTATCTTTCGCCGGTCCCTACTCTTCTTCAGAGAAGAATCAATGACGCTCAATCGCGCAGTCCCTCCAGAACACCGTTTTATCTCCGACATCTCCGATCCTACGTGTCCGTATTCTACGTCTTGAGCAAGTGCTCGATGGCTGGAGGAAGAAAGATTTCTCACTCCAATAATAAGTTAGTCTTTACGATCTACTTAATTAGCACGCCGCCAGCAACCAAACTAGGATGTTGGGTTCTGTAACTGAAAGCGATTTCTCTCCATCCTGTCTGACAGTTGCAAATGGGAACTTTGTACAACGGAACCTGCCCACGCGATTTTGTCTCTCCTCCGTCAAATCTATCTACAGCGTGTCTCTTCCAGGGCGGCGGTCCTCCAATGACTTAAAATGCTTGGCATTCAAAACATTCCTAACTGCAATTACTCGACTTCGATTACGAAGTCTGGTCCTCCGTATCGCTGTCTGCAATCGAGAGAGAAATTATGTCAAGTCGAGCTTCGGTTCAGATCTTCACGCGGATCGAATGTCAGAGATCGTCACCGCGGCAACGTGACAACCAGAGCGTGTCCACCCCGATTCAAAAGGATTCATTCACTTATATTCCAATACGAAAGAATCAATCACTTGATCGATCAAATATTCAATGGTTGAAGGAGATCAGGTAAGGGAATTGAGATTCTCTCATACCTTTTTTATGTCCGGTGTACTGATGTCGTCGTAGCCGGTCATAAAGGTCTTCTTTGGTGCCATAGAGGCTGGCATTGCTCCGAGCGAGCGTGCCGCCCTTGTGAAGACCATCTTTCATGTAGGTTTCGTTGTAGAAGTTGGGCATCTCCCAACCTGTAACAGAGAAGATAATTTTCTCGTCAATGAGGATTCCTTCGAGTCGAGTCCGGAATAAAATAATTGTTCGCAGTCAACTGCTGAGGAGCGCGGTGAGCGCTCCTCTCGAGCATGCTAGGGACAGAGACTGGACACATAGAAATCTACCAGAGTTAGGGAGACACGTGCCATCGTCTTCATCGTCGTAGTAATGCGCGTAGGTCGAATGATGCGACGGCGCTATGCTCTCGGCGTACGGTGCGGGCGCCCCGTAGTAGAAGTTCTGTTGTGAACCCGAGAGGTCCATGGCGGGTGGGAGCGGCATTTTCCCGGGCTTCCCTCGCCACGTCATCCTGCAAAGGGAATTGAAATGAAATTCACGGATCGATCGTCGAAACCTCAATCTCAGCGAACAGTCACGCTTCGGATCGAGCGGTATCAGCTCGCACAAATCAGCCTTTCCAGTTAGAATTCAGTGAACAGCCCGATACTTTTTTTCGCCAGAAACAGGTCTTTGTCAACTTTGACGAAGGAGTGCGGATTCTAATCGCGACATCTATCCAGGCCCTTTCTTCCGGTCGGTCGGTCTGACTGGTGGTTGTGTTCAACTGGCGCGCAAGCTTCGGCGCATTCGCGTAAACTTGACCTTCAGCCGATGTGACTACTCGAAGCAGCCTTGGGAGAACGATGGTCAATGACGAGCATGGCGAAGGGAACTTCTACACATGTGCGCGCAATTAGACACTTCACGATGTTTTTCAACAGAGCGAACTTGTGCTCCTTCGATGGCTACTCCGTTCTAACGGTCGTAAACAGTTCGAGTTCTTGGAACGGCTCCGACCGATCGCCACAGTTGCTGATTCTGTCGGCAATGGGGGGATAAGCCGACCGGAAGAAGAATCGTTCTGTTTCTCAATTCCTCGATTGATTCTCCCCGTCGCTTGACGTATTTCGCTATGCCGAATTCTTTTTTTGTCTATTCGCTCCGAGTTCCGCGAGCTTACGCATCTTCGTGTCGGCGCAGCACCCCAGAATTATCGCTTTTCATCGAGACGGTAGGTACTACGGTGCCTATGAGGTAAGATCCTTGCATATTCGACTGGCATCCATGATAGATCACATCGGAAGCGCTCGTCGGACGGAATTTCGGTTCTATGTGTTTGATGCGGATCCGTCTATGCTAAGCCTGTCTATGATACGACAGACGGCCCTGAAGCCGAACGATCGCTCGAGCACGATCCCGATGGGAGAATAATTCTTCTTCGCGATTAATAATCACCAACTCTGCTCGAGGATTTCTTCCCCCTTTTTCATGTAATCGAGCGTTCTCTCGGCTCTGCACGTAACATTACGTACCTGACGCAAATCATCCAGATCAGAAGCACCATCACGATGAGGAACACGACGGCAGCCGCGATACCTCCAGCGACGTAAACGAAGTCGGACTTTCTCTCACAGCGTTCGCCGTAGAAATTACTGTGACATACGCAACGGGGCTCGACTGCATTCTGCGGGATTTCGCATTTACCGCCATTCTCGCAGTAATCCTCGCAGACGTCTGTAAAAAACAGAAAAGTTCAGTTCCTGTCGTGCTCGAGCTTCTGAGAGAGCGCTCCGTGGATTCTCGAAACTTCGAGAACAATCGGCGTCGGCTTCGAATATATTTCAGAGGGAAGACATTTCCGTTGCGTTCAGGATCGATTCCCGAAGCTCAAGGATACTCACCGACACACTCGGCCGTCTCGTTGCTGAATTTGAACTTCGGCATACACTTGCAGGCAAAGTCCTGTTCGTCCTCAATAAATACGCAGTAGGCGTTCTTGTGACAGACACGTTTCTCGCCGTTCACCATGCACGGATCAGAGCAGTAGCTGGGATCCGTCGCTCCGACAGCGTCGGTGGTAGTGTCAGCCGGACACGGTTTGCATTCTGAGTCTCGTTGTTCTTCGTCCTGGTACGTTCCCTTCGGGCACGGCATACAATAGTTCCGTGTGACGTTGAGGTAGTGACCGATTTGACAGACTTCGAGCGAACACTGTTCCACAGTCGTGGAGCCGAAGTCCGCCGTGGTCCTTCCCTTGGGACACTGTTGACAAGACGGCATACCGCTCGTGCGGAATGTTCCTTTCGGACACGGTTCGCACTGTCCCGTGATGGTCAGTTGGAGTCCCGATTTGCATTCTTCGCGACATTCCTGGATCGAAGCGGCCTCGTTCGTGCGGGTCGTGAGCCCCGGTCCGCAGGGCTCGCACTTGAAGGATCCCTCCTCGGGCTGATAGAAACCGTAGCCGCACGGTCGGCAGAAACCGACGGTGGCGTCGAAGTACTGGCCTGGAGTGCAGCGTTGCTTGCACTCTTCGACCGATCGAGCTCCGAAACTGGCCGTGATGCCCTGCTTCCCGTTGATTTCGGGACATGCTTTGCAGGCGAGCTGACCGCTCGCGTCCTGGTAGAAACCGTTGGGACAAGAATCGCAAGTACTTGTCTTGTTGTTGTAGAATGTTCCGAGAGAACACTTGACGCAGAACGTGTTCACCGGAACCTCGCCGGCGCCGCACGAGTAATCGGTGGAGATCTTCAACGACGTGAGGTCAGGCTGAACGTTCGGGAGGGTTTCACGGACATCGAAGGCATTCGCCTGCAAGATGGCCTGCTCGACAACCGACCGCACGGTGGCTTTTTGTTGATTTTCCGAGCTGACTACGGGATCCTTGCGAGCGGGGAAACTGATTTCCAGGGAATAGATGCTGACCGGTTCTCCGTCTTTGTCGGCTTGGCGCTTGGCGCGACCGCCGTTCTTGTGGCATTTGACGTTGAGTTGGGTTCCGGTGCAATGGGGTGGGAATCGATCGACGCACACGTGCCACTTATCGTTGACCTGGAGAAGAGCTTCGGTGATCCTGGATCGCAGGATTTTCTTCCCAGAGTCAGAGCAGACAACGGTCGACGAGAAGTCCATCGCAATCCTGAAGAGACGTTGAGCCGGTCTCTTGGCTGAAAATTAAATTATTTTCATCATTATTTCCTCGATGATTCTCGTGCCCGACAACGAGTTTCGAGATATTCATCTGTAGAGAAAGATGAATCATTTATTTCTCAGCGGGATATAACAAAGAAACCGATTCGACCGTGGTCGACGAAACTCACGAGCACAAGCGGGGAAGGTGAAAGGCAATTCGGGTCGATCGTTGGGTCGCCAGAAACCTTCGGCTCCGCAAACGAAGAACTGGGGAACTTTTTCAGAGAAATCCAATCCGTCATCGCATCCGATGCTGCACACCTTGAACCTGCTACCCGGACCCCAGTCGGAGCATTGCCGGTAGCCTCCGATCGGGGCAGGCGGGATCGGACAGAAATCGTTGAGGACGTGAATACGGAAATCGCATTGCGCCTGGTTGCCGGCGACGTCCTTGGCGACGTACGAGAGATCGAAGATACCCTTGGAGAAAGTGTGACCGGATCGGATACCGTTCAGTTCGCTGATGGCCACCTTCTGTCCCGTCTCGTCCGAGAACTCCGGCTCTTCCCACTGAAGTGCTATCGAGTCGTTCGGGGTGACGACCCACATGTCGGGCGGGCAGTAGATGGTTCTCGGGGGGACTTTGTCACCGACTTTGGCGATGCATTCCTCCGTGACAGTCGTGGTGCACGACTGCTCTCCGCAGCGTCCCGGGCTTTGGCGTTCGACCGTTCCGACGATTTTGTCGTAGTTCGCCCATCGAACCAGCAGGCCGTTGAAGAGAACCGGCGAGTTCTGACACGATCTGAATTGTCCCGGAATTTCATGGTTTTGGTCCAGCACGCGGTCCCAGATGTTCACTCGAGACAGACGCCCGTGGAATCCGCTTTCCGGCTTCGTTCGCATTTCGTCGGTGTCGACCGGTGCCCCAAGACTCAACCAGCCGTACGGAGGGAGTCTCTCGCCCTTCACGTAGCCGGTGACGACGCCCGCGAGGGCTGTGTCCGTGATAAGGGTCAAGGTGCCTTCCTGACCATCCCATTGGACGACGACGTGATGCCAATTACCATCGTTGATTGGAACGTTGTCGAGATACGGTATGAAGATTTCGATCGTGTGCCGAGGGAAGAACGAGACCCGAACTCCGGAGTCGTCGAGTTTCAATAGTCGAGTCTTGTTCTGGATCTTGTGCATGTGTGATACGGAATAGAGAGTGACAATGTTTCCGCTGCTTCCCGGGGTGTTGAACTGAACCCAGAGCCCGAGAGAGAAGCTCGTCGCGTTCAAATCGAAAGGCGTGTTGAGAGCAGCTCCAGAAGAACGGCTCTCGTCGTTGAAGTACAGATCATAGTTGATTGAAACCTGCTTTCGGCAGTCTTCACCGGTGTAGTTGAAGGGACACTTGCAGTAGAAACCATTTGTGAGGTCGATGCATTCGGCGTTTGGTGGACACGAGGTAGCGCTACAATCCTGGATGTCCTGCTCGCACATTTTCCCGCCGTATCCCGGAGGACAGTCGCACACGTACGTTTTGCCGCTACGCTGGCATTTGCCACCGTTCTGACAAACGTTTTCGGCGCATGCCTGAGGATGATAAAGAACGAGTTATCCCGGGGTCAAAGGGGAAAAGAAGGAACGACGAGGGAACAAAACTACACCGAAGGGTAGGAAGAAGAGGTTGTTCTTCCATTGGGTACTCACGTCAAATTCGTACTGGCAGCCTATGCCGGCGAACTCTTCAGAGCACGAGCAGTTGAGTCCGCTACCGTAGTCCTGGCAACTCGATCCGTGCATGCAAGGATCGCCGATGCATCGTTGAGGCGAGGTCTGACAGCGTTTCCCGTCGGTACCGCTTGGACAGACGCAGAAGAAGTCCTCGAAGAGATCGATGCAACGAGCATTGTTCAGACAGGGGTTGGAATCGCAACCCCCGATGTCGACGTCACAACGTTCTCCAGTCCATCCAGGCGGACAGTTACAGTAGAAACTGCCGACCTTGTCGATACACTTGGCACCGTTCTCGCAAGGCGAAGCCTCGCATTCGTCGATGTCTACTTCACAGAATTCTCCACGGTAACCTGCGTTGCACACGCATCTGGAAGTGAATTCAAATGGCGGCGTTAGAGGGGAACCCTCGGATAAATTCGGACTGAGGGCAATGGAGGAAAGTAACTAATTTGCTACTCGGGCGCATCATCTACGTCATCGGTCGGAGTCTCCATTGCACTCACTCGAAACCGTTATCCTTGTCGATACATTGCGCCGTTCCAGTGGCGTGGCACGGTAACGAGAGACACTCGTCGATTTCAGCTTCGCACTGCAGCCCGACGAATCCAGGTCGGCACTCACAAGTGAAGCCGTCGATTTGGTCGACACACGATCCACCATTCTGGCAGGGTTCCGACTTGCAATCATCGATGTGATGCTGGCACCTGTCAAACGAAACAAAATACTTTACTCGAACGCGGATCAATCGCAATCGGCTCCCTCCGTTCCGCAGCCCTCGCGGGAGTCCTGTGGCCGAGCCACATCATCGGTACGGATACCGTGGTGCGTATCGGGTGAACTTACGTCATCCCGGTGAATCCAGAATCGCATTGGCAACGGAAGCCGTCGATCATATCGATACAGACTCCGTTGTTCTGACAGGGAGACGAAACGCATTCGTCGACGTTGTCCTCGCAGCCGGGACCGCTCCAGCCGGGTTTGCATACGCATTCGTGACTGAACATCTTATCGACGCATACTCCGTGATCTCCGCATGGATTGTTCGCGCAGAGGTCCACCTTGATTTGGCAACGTTTTCCGGTGAAACCAGGCGGACATTCGCAGGCGAAGTCATTGACCAGATCCGTACAATTAGCTCCAAGGAGACAGGGACTCTCGGCGCAATCGTCAATGTTTGATTCGCAGTTGGGTCCGGTCCATCCAGGTGCGCAGCTGCACTTGTATCGGCCGTGCTTGAGAGGAATACATCTTGCCTCGTTGTGGCATGGGCTCTGACCCACCGTGCAGGGATTCACTGTCACGTTGCACGTCGGACCCTCGTAGCCCGATCGGCAGAGACAGTTCACCGAACCAGAGCCGGGCAGGTCCTGGCACATGGCACGTTCAGGACAGATGTTCGGTACATCGCATTCGGACTTCTCGATTTCGCACTGGGAGCCCGAGTAACCGGTAGGGCACTTGCAAGCGAAGCCCTGGGGCCGATCGATGCAGGACCCTCCGTTATAGCAAGGATTCGAGGCACACTCCTCCATGTCGTTCTCGCAGTACTGACCGGTGAAGCCCGCGGGACAGTAGCAGGTGGCTTGATGATTCTGGGCGAGACACAGGCCACCGTTCTTGCAAATGGTTGGGTTGCATTGAACCGGCTGACACGCCTCCGGAGTCGTCTGGCCAGGAGAGTTGGTCTTCTGGTTCGACGCGCACCGGATGCATTGTGTCTGGCCGTCCTGTGGCTGGTAGAAGTTGGCGGGGCACTCGTAGCAGGGTTCAAGTCCGGTCTCGGAATAACTTCCCGGACGACATCTGGCCTTGCAGGCGCTGGCGTGGGCGGCGCCGTCCGAATACGTGAACGAGTTCGGCTGGCATTTAGTGCACTCGCGGAAACCTTCAGGAGGAGGAGTGCCGGCGAAGGAGTTCTCCGGACACTGCAAGCAGGGCACGAGGCCGCTCGCAGAGTAGGTTCCGTATCCGCAGACCGGTACGCAGTCGCTGAGCGATTTGCTACCCTCCTCTCTCGTGTGGGTTCCGTCAGGGCACTTCTTGCACTGAGCCTGTCTCGTTAGGTCCTGATAGAAACCTCGAGGGCAGAAGCTGCACTTTTCGTCCTCGGCTGCGAAAGTCCCCGCGGGACAGTGCAGACATCTCGGCACGATACCTGTTTCGTTAGTGAGCACTTCCCCGAATTCGCAGGTGAAGCCTCGTTTGATCGTTGATCGTTTTGCTTGAATCGTCGGACAGAGTCCTCCGATCTCCTGGGCGCTAATATTGAGGATCGGTTCAATGAGTGCTGACGTGCTCGGGACGCTCAGATCGAAAATGAGTCCGAGAGTGGACCCACAGAGATCGTAGAGCAGTTTCTGGTGCACGACGGGTACGATACGAACCACGTAATCGATAGTCAACTCGTTTTCGCTTTTAATCATGGCCGTAGTGTTGTGGAACGATAAATCCATTTGTACGTTGATGGCGGAGCAGCGGTCGGAAAGCTGTCGGTTGAGCCGTTCGTAGAAAGTTCGGACGTAGCGGACGTAGTGGTCGAGACAGGAATCGTGGACCGCGCCTCCGGAACGGTATTCAACCTGAGCGGTGACGTCGTACGAGGCTTGATTCGTCTGTTCCGATACGCAGTCGGGTATGATCGATTTCGGTAGCCACGGTCCCTTGTTTTTGCATTCGAACGTCTTGGCCTTCTCGCCATCGGTGAAACGGTAGCCGTTCTTGCAGGTGGCCAGACACTGATAGCCGGTGGCTTCATCGTTCGGCAGACAGTTCACAATGCCGTTAGTGGGAGCGTGCAGTGACCAATCGACGCAGCTCGTGGCCTGCACCGACACTTGGAAGTAACAGAAGGCCTGGTTCCCGAAGCGATCCGTCCCGGTGACGGTGATGTTTCTATAACCGCCGATCGGAATCACGGCAGTTTCCGGGGTGACCGTAATATCGACGTGACCCGATTTGTCGTTGGCTGAGATCTGGGCGCGAGTTTCGTTGAAGTTCACCACGAAACTTTCCTGTTTCTCGGTCAACTCGACCACGTACGACTGGGGACACTTGATCGAGGGCGGTGTGTAGTCAGGGACGGTGATGTTCACCACGCAAACGGCGACGTTACCGTCGTGATCGTACGCGATGTACTGCACCACCGTGTCTTCGAACACCATCTGAGGGGGTCTGAAGCCGAGTGGCTTAATTTCCATGCGGGCAACCCGTCCGGAATTATCGGTCGCCGTCGGCACCGGGAAGTTCACCGGCAGAATACCGTTTGTCGACGACTCGACCACGATTGGGTGGGTCGGACAGTTCTCGAAACGAGGCGGTTCCTTGTCAACGCAGACGGGCGCAGCGCTCTCGTAGCCGAGAAGTACGTCGTCGACGCTGTCTTCACAGCCGAGGAGCTCGAACTTCAGACATGGGTTCTTGTTGTAGCTCACGATCCCGAGGATCACGTAGCGGGCTTTGACGCTGAGCGGCAGATCGATCACGGTGAGCTCGCCGTAGTTTCCGGGATCTCGGGACGTCAGGTTGAAGTTGGGGAAGTAGACCACGAAGTTTTCGTTTTCTTTCACCTTATAGAAGAATCGCAGCTCGGTCGGACGACCCACCACGTCGTTCGTTATGACTCCCTTAACCATAATGGCCTTGACGTGGTGCACCTTCTGGAGGTCGACGGTGACGTAGGTGAACGCTTCTTGGGTGCCGCACCATCCAGTGGTCGATCCCATTCGAACGTTTTTCGCCTCGTAGTTGCTTCGAGCGGACGTAGCGTTGATTGCGCTGTCCGGAATCTTACCAGAGGTGATTCCCAGCGGCTTGACGACTTTGCAGTCGGCATCTGAAATTAGAGTCATCCATTAGAAGACCGCTCCTGGACTTTCAAAAAGTGGTTCCTTCGATTCTTCAGCCGAATATTTTATTCAATTGGTAATGAGAGGAACGCTCCTCGAGCTAGGATTGGTAATCTTTCGTTTCTTCTCGGGAATAATTGGAATGCTCCCCGGGCGGGTTTCCTCTTCGGATACCCCCTCCCGAGCGTTCTCTTCGGTGTTCCGACAGGGCCCGATAGTGAAAATTTGCTCACTTTTGACGCAGGTGATCGGATCGGTGCTGTAGGGCACGTATCCGGGTCGAGTACATCCGAAAGTCACTTCAGATCCTTGTTCGTAGCTGTTCGCGATCTGGTAGCCATCGGCGGGCCTGCCGGGATCTTGACAGACGGGTCCCTCACAACGGAGGTCCCCGAAATCCCAGGAGCCGTCTTCTTGGCATCGTATGACATTATCGTTCAAACTGCTTTTGCCAACCAGGGTGAAGGTTTCTTCACAGCCGAAGAAGAAAGAAGCGCGATATTTCGTGTCAACGTGGAAGCCGTACGTAGCACCGATGCTGTCGAGGGGAGGTCCACAATCGACTCCTGTGGAAGAGAGGAGAATTAGTGACACTGAGTTTGAACTTATCTTGCTTAATATTCTTTCCCTCAATAAATTCCGCATGCCTTCGTTGATTCGAGTAGATTCAATGGCATCTCGCTCAAAGACGCCCGAATGTCTTACGCGGCCCAAAAATGACTTGAATCGACACCGGAAAAAATTAGGTCGACTCACGTTCACAAGCTGGAGAGGATCCAGCGAGCCAGTAGTCCTGCTTCCCAGGTTGTGGATTGTAGACGCACTGACGGAACTCCGAAGTGGCGGTGTTCCGAAGCGGACGTCCTGTCTCCGAGCACGAGATGGTCACGTTGTCTTGGAACGCTACGTAGTTATCATGCGAATTCGATCTTAGTGAAAGGCCCTGAGCCGGATCGTCGTGCAATCCGAGACACTTCGCTGGCAGGCACGCGGGCATGGTACCGTTCCAATTGCCGCCGGACGTGCATGTGAGAGCGTGGGCTCCGTGCAGCACGAATCCAAAGTCGCATTGGAAACTAACGGAGTCGCCGAAGCGGAATCGTTCTTTCGTCGAGAGCATACGACCGTTTTCAGGTGACCTCAGCATCGAACATTCCCTAGCTGCAGCAGCCATGTAAGGGGAAAAGATAAATATGGGTTAATTCGGCCATAAAAAACTCAGTCGCTAGTGGATAATTACGCTTTAAATATGTTTGAACGACAGCGATGGCGGCGGCGGTGGTGGTGCCGATGATACTCACGGACGCATGTCTTGTTAATTTGATAAGTGTCTCCATCGCGGTAACCGGTTTCGGTCGGCGGAACGAAGAAGCCCGAAGTTCCGTTCTTGGTGTAGAGTTCGTAGCCGACGTTACACATGCAATGGAATCCGCCGGGACTGTTGACGCACCGCTGATGACAGCCGCCTTGAAGGAGCCAAAAATCAGAAAAGACGACAACGACAAAGGGAAAAAAATGCCAAAACAAAAACGCTCTTGTTTCTGTGACCGTTCGGAAACAACAGGCGCCATTTTTACTCCTGTCATTTTCTCCCTTCTGCCGACTCCGAGAGGTAACGCGAACACTAAATGACTCGTGCCACGAATTCAGCTCCTGTGGTGGGTTTCGAGTCGCGACTTCCGAGTCTGGTTCGCCCCCTCCCGGCCGGGGATTCATATTTGCCCATTGGCCGTGCAGAACGTCGGAATGACGACTCACCGTTCTTCTGGAGACACTCATTGACGTCGATACAGTCCTGACGGGAACAGCCCATGACTTCGAGCCGCATGCATGGTGCTCCGACGTACTCCATGACGAGCACTCGCACAAATCGGGCCTCGATCGGCAGAGGCAGATGGACGACGGCCAGACCAGATCCGCCATTGGGAGTCAGAGAAAATTCCATTGGCCGACCCAACGCGTCGGTATAATCTCTGAACACGTCGATCACTTCATCGGTGTACTGGATCCTCACGCTGATCGGGAACGCCTGTCCACCGTCCTGACGGATGACCGGTTGCGTTCGCAGACCACGGATAACGGTAGGAGCTGCGAGATCGATCTGCACGAAGTTTTCTCCGGCTCTGGGAACCGATCCGCACCAACCTCCTTCGCCGTCCAGTCGGAGCTTTTCTTTCGGGTAACCGGTCTCAGAACTCGAAACCGTGATGCCATGGTCTGGGATAGCGCCGTTGGCGAGCCCAAGATCGCCGACGGGCCTGCAGTCGACGTTTCGCTCGAAGCCCTTTTTGCCTGGGGGAAAATGAATGGATTGCGGATGTTAGCTTCTCGTTTGAACTGCAGCGCAACCTGACGGCTTCCACGGTATTGAGAGTTTCCGGTGTCGGAAGCTGTCTCAAGATGTTAATTTTTACACATCCGTTAGGACTTCCTATCGGCATCTTTGAATACTCATGAGTCATGACCGTCGCTGAGAGGTGAACGGCCAGCTCAGATCTACGATCAATTAGGAAAGAATTATACGAAGAGTCTCGAATGTCTAAGTCAGCGGTGGCCTGAGGGAGCTGAATGTGAATAGAACAAGGTGAAAAGAGAAATAATAGAATGTTTTGCAATCAATGATTGTGTCGATGATGCTTCAAATTCAGAACCCACCGAGTGGTCTCATTCTGTATCAGATCGTTTTGGTCGGGCAGAAATTATCTCGCCCGACTGATTGAGCTTCCCCTTTTCTCCGACGTCTTCGTCGTCGATCTCGTTCGTCGTTTTTTTCTCCCGACCGGTGCCCTGGAGACGGCACCGCCACGAGCGGCCGCGCCGGCACGGCAAAGACGGCCCTGTCAGAATGACCCAGATGCTCGATGGCACTTCTGGAGCAGCAGCGGCAGCATCGGCAACGAGCACCACTACTAGTAGGAGCGAGCGAAAGAGCGAATCTGCCAGCCAGCTAGTCAAGTTCGCTCCGGCATTTTTCTCTGCTTTCCCCCCATTGCTCCAACATTACCACCGGCGATGCCGCCGCGCGGCCGCAGCCCTCGAGGAAAACGCTACCACTTGCAGGAATTCTGCACGCCGCAAATCATCGATGCCTGTCATCGTTTGGCTGGCGCTCTCGATACCGCTTTATCAATATCATCATGACTAACAATTCTTTTTCGGTCGTTTTATGCCGCTCTATAAGGCGACGTCGACACGGATCCTCCTCTCCAGTATATGTTCATGAGGGATGCTTATCGATCGGTGCATAGCGGCGGACAGGAGCATCGCAGACACCGATCGCAATCGCCCTCGATGCTCACGAGCACGTCCGGATAGTTTGATGACCATGCTCCTGCGTTTCTGGTTAAACGTCGACACAACAACTCAATGTTTTTACAAAACGACGCATCGCTCCTTTCCGGATAGCGGCAGATGGCGCACTCATTGTGCGATGAGTTGTCGTTTCACGATCCACTTTCGCGTTCATTTTTTATACGCGGTATTCAAAAAGAGAAAAATTCAAATTCCCGAGTTCGAAGCCGCCCTAATCAGTTCTCCGCCGATCGCCTGCTCACTGAAAATGGAACCAGAAGGAGACAAATCGATGAAAACAGAGGAAATTTCATAAAAAAAATGGACAGGCGCCGGGAGCCAGAATCCGAGGAAGATCAGACACGTCCGAAGAAATCAGCTCAACCAGGCAACAGAACAAACGGCAGAAGGAGGAAGAGAGACCGCGCGGACACGCCAACTCAGTGTTGAAGCCCACAGCGATCATGCTTTTTTCTCCGGTCTGCGGTCCCGTTTCCTTGGAGTCCCGAATTATGATGCAGCGTTATTCAGAAAACGAATAGCATCTTCCAATGCGTCCGATTCTTCCCATCAAGAAAATGTGCGTGAAAGTGATCGCATCAACAATCACGTTCAGAGCCTACGTCGATTCCGGTCGGTACCTATCAAAACGCTTGACTTTCTTTTCATATTTCACCATTCGCCTCCACCGGCCTTTCATTGAGCGATATCAGGCTCTTTCTCGACAAGAAGCCTTTCTCTTCTCTAAAACACGATTCGACGATCGGAAAAATGCTTCTGTCCTCCCGAGTGCTCGAATCCCCGAACGATACGAAGAGTGAACGTCACAAGTCGTATCAGGGATCGCGCACTGGAAGCGGGGCACTCTGGGCGTTTCCCCATGATACAAAAAAATTGAAATCTCTTTCATTTCCTGCATTGCTCTCATTAATACTGAAATCAGAGCTGGCAGCTACTCAAGTCGCCGAGCAAGGTCTGACCGATTCACTATAAAAAAATAAAAAACGAGTTTGCGAGGCTTTGTCTGGACTCATTTTTTCTAAGTAAGTAGATAAGATGCTGAAGTTTTCTTTGCTTACATTTGCAGAAGAAGCTTCCTGGAGTGTTGATACACATTGTCGAAGCCGAGTCGCAAGCGGTGGGGGAGCTGCACTCGTTTATGTCGACGCAGGTAGGAACGTCTTCAAATGTTTTGTTCGAACCGCAGGTGATCGTGGATTGACCTTCCAGCTTGTAGCCTTTGTTGCACTGAACCTTAACTTTGTCACCGAAGAGGTATTCCCGTTTCTCCATCACGACGATTCCGTTCTCGATTTTAGGCACCTTATGGCATTGAGCTTTCTGACAACTGGGTGGGTTGGCGCTCCAGAGTCCGTTGCTCTTGCATACCACAACCGGATAGCCTGGAAAAGACACGTATGAGGAAAAAAGAACATAAAATAACGGTAGCTTGGATAATAGAATCATTTCCTTTTTTTTTGCGCCATCGAGTTTTGTATCGAGAATGATTCAGCGTGACGGACCGCCTGGCCAGCTCGTCTGGAATAGCACTTCACAAGTCGTTTGGCACGAGGGAAATTCGACGATGCCGCACCGTACGGTCGCCGGTGAACCGAGGATTGTTGCCCGTTCGCTCGGGGGCTGAATGAACCTCCCCTTTCTTTTGTTTTTCTCCCTCTATCTTTTGTGAATTTTTTTCAAGTTTATTATCCTCGATACGATTCATCCGCTTTTACCTGATCGTCTGAATCCAGGCTCGCAGTCGAACCGGACGACGGTTCCGTAGTTTCTTCCGGCTCCGTTGAGGAATTTGGCGACTGCGTTAGGGACTTCTGGTAGCGGAGGACACGACGACGCCATGCAGACTGGGAGATTATCCCAATTTCCGTATTCATTACATCTGGAAAGATTGAGATGTTTTTTTCTAATTTTGAATAACGATTCCGGAGCTTCTCCGTACTTTTGCCGCGATCGTCCCTCCTATGATCGATCAGGGGATTGGAAAATAGAGACAGCATGTCAAACTATTCAATTCGAGGCATTGTTGGCTGGAAAGCGTCTTTCCCCCGTTCTTCTAGCTTTCGAGTCGTCTTCTGACCCGGCTTCCTTGTTGTTCCCGAAATCCGTCAGTTAGCATCGTCTGATCACCAAACTATTTCGTGCGCAGCATTAAACTATTCCGTTCGCTTCTCACAATCAGTGAAATGGAGCCTCGATCATGATTCTACCGTTTGATGTCTGCGTGGATTCTTGTGACGGTCGGCGTGTCTGACGACGATTCGTCGATCAGCTGAAAAAGAGCTGTCGTTTCTCCGAAACGCTTGTCGGCCGGCAGCCAGTCAGTCAGTGAGTCAGGTCGTCCGTCCGGCCGGCCGACCGTCCTCCCCTCGGTCGGTTCGAGCGACCGACAGTCAGTGAGTGAGTTTTCTACCAAAAGTTAATGACGGTTCGTCGAGAAAAAGATGCCGCGCTTACCAAGGGAGCCAAGCCGACGCGCAATCGTAGAAGAAAAATGCTGACCCACTTCTTACCTGACCGCTTGTTGCTGAAGCCCGCCGGGAAAAGTGAAGCCGGCGTAGCATTGGTATGTCGCCTGTCCTCGGAATGTTACGTTCGTGGCGGCCACGGCGAATCCGCTACTGATTTGAGGAACAGGTCCGCAGTAAATCTCTTGGCAGGAGGGTATATGGGCGACCGACCATTTGCCACCCGGCAAACACTCGGCGACAATCTTCTTGCGTCCGGTGCTGAATTCCATTCCACTAGGGCACGTGTAGGTAACCTCGGCGCCGAACGTCGTGTCACGGCTTGAGGCCAGAGCTCGTTCTCCGACGGTCATCAGCGGACAATCAGAAGAGAAGCTCGCTTGCCACCCGGCAGCGGTATTCAGCGAGTTCGATTGGAACACGACGTAAAGAGAGCCTGACGTTGCCGTCAGAGTGTGGGTGGGCCTCGCGGCTCCTGAGTAACCTTGTCCAGCATGGAGCTTGACAGATTTGGCGTTCTGACCGTCGTAAACCTGGATGTGGTCGTCGCTGGCTACGAGGAACTTGTCGAATTTCAAAGAGATCGGGCCCCCACCGGGTCGGGTGATTCGGTAGGCGCAGTTCTGATTCGAAGGGTATTTGCCCACTCCAAAGGCCGGCGAGTTTATGATGCCCTGGTCAGCGATCATGTCCACTTGACAACCGGCGCGGAATCGGATCGAGAAGCCCTTGCTCGAAGCGTGAGCCGTGTCAGTTTTGAAATAGATGTAGACGCGGTTCTGTGTTGAGAGGATGAACTTGGGGTTTTCCGAGGTCTTTCCGCCCAGTCTCGCCAACAGCGTGTCGCTGGGAGTTGCTCCGTCTCGGAGGAGAATCGAGTCTGTCACTTCCAGATCCAGATCGACGATCTCCAACGAAACGAGTTTGTTGTGCGGCGCCGTGATGACCCACAGACACTCGATCCCACCGGGGTAAGCGTTCGGGTATCCTGGAGAATTCAGGACTTGAGCGGATGAGTGAGCGAAGAGCTCCCCTCCGCATTTCACAGGCTCAGTTTTCCAGCTTGCTCGGAATCCTTTCTTCTCGGCTGCCGCGTCCGATTTGAATTTCACGATCATCAGGTTGCTTCCGGTGATGTAGCTCTTCGAAGAGATGTTCTGCTTGCCGGAAAGCTGCGCCAGTGAAACGCTGGATTTTTCGGTGCGACCTCCAGACAGCACCTGGACAGCGTCGAAGTTCGCCTCGGTCTCGAAATCCGAAAACTGCAAGACGATGCCCGTTCCCAGTGGCCCCTCCAGAGTCCATTTGCAATCGAGGTTCGAGTCGTATCTCTGAGGGTAGTTCGGAGACTGGATCGAATCGCCGGAACTCTTCAAGTAGTGATGGCAGAGTCCTGGAAAAATGGGGAAAAATCGGTTCAGTTTCGGTTCACAATGTCCAGGGCAGAGACGTTCAGCTCTTTGCTTGACTTGGGTTCCTGTCCGCGTAACGGATTCGCTTGTACTGCGCCGACGATGTAATTCTCGGGAAACCAGAAACACTTTCTTCGGGTAATGCTGCTCGAGCCATAAGGAACTTTCGCCAAGAATGAGGAAGGTTCGCGCGATTTGCTGAATTGGAAAATTCTTCAATCGACAACCGATTTTTTTCACTATTTTCACGAACGTTCGAAACGAGCACGTCATAAAATCGAGCCAAACGAACCCCTGTTGGGTCTACTGCTGCTCCTGCCGGGGAATTGCGAGGGAATCATCGTGGTAAATGTGATGGAAAATATTACCGTTGTCGGAATGGATAAAAATTTCACTTGACGCCCTTGTCCCTCGTTTCGGTACGTTTCATCCGTAGCAATACATCCCACGAAGACGAGGAATCGACAACGATCTAATGCGAGGGGAGCTCGGGGACGGGCTGTAGGGAAGAGCTCATAAGGAGCATTATAGTTCGCATGGATGACAGCCGCGATGATCCTAGCCCTCATATCCTCGTCTTACTTTCACGTATCTGATCGCGAATCGCAAGGCCGCGCGCCGTCGTGAATCTTTCTAGAGCATTCGGGCCCACGAAAATCGTTCCGCGATTCGCAAATTTCGCGAGGGCCGAGCTTAGAGGATTCATTCTGTCCCAAGGTTCCCATAAGCTCCTATAAAGTCCGAGAATCTGACACAGTGTCCACAATTTCTTCCTATAAATTGCTGACACTACATGGGTGTCCTGATGCGAATGAAGAAAACAAGACCCGCGAAAAAATGTTGAAATGACGTACGCCGCGTCGCTCTCAGAGCTCGGGCCTGGTGTCCAACGAACGAGAAAAATGAACATCCAGTCGTATCGTGCTCCTTAGGGGCGACTGCGCGCACGTTCTTGCCGAGGGAGATCCTGGCGTCGTCATCGTCCCCAAGAGAGAGATTTGAAGGATCACCAAGGCCAGCAAATCACAAACCACTGGGGTGATTGATGCGAAAAGGCTCGGACAACGGTCCTCGCTCGTCTATCCCTCGCCGCTTGCCTAATGTCCACGGTATCTGACAGAACCGATCGAACACATTTTTCAGATCCCCTCGTCTCCATGAAAATTGCGTCTTCCCACTGTTGGATCCCCTTTTTCCACAAACTCTCCCGCGGACGGCAGGGAACAAAGCTCCCTTGTTACGAAACACTACTTGACGACATCGTAAGCTGTCACCATTTGTGGAGAAAAACGAGGAATTCTTCTCGGGAAGACCGTCAGGCGACGTTTCTCGGCGCCGTCTCCCGGAATCGGTCACCGAAGAGCTCGCTCATCGAACTTTTCCCGCTGGTCTCGCATGTCTCTGATCGAGATCCTAAATATGCCTCGATAGATCCCGGAGTTTACTCGGCCCACAGAGGAAAATATCAATAAGCGACAAAAATAGGTTGGCCCTGGTCACGTCCGGTACCTCGGAGCGGGAGTTGCGAGCTACGAGTCGCGACATGCTAACGACGCAGAACGAACCGAATGAGAGCTGTCGTCTTCACAATGAGCGGCCTGCTGTGACTCCTGAACAACTTTCGTCAAGGTTGCCCACCGGGCTATTTGTCAGTGACTCGTCTGTCCATTCAGTTGGTCGGCCGGTTCTGACCAGCTCGCTCGTTGTATAACAATTATAGCCGAGTGCTTCAATAGTGAAAATGGCCTTATTGTGTCACAAAAACCCCTCATCTGTCTGTTCACTGTCTCGTCCCCTGTCGACTTCCCCCTTAAGTTCACTCTATCCCGCTCTCTGTCCAAGTCGTTCGCCGCAACAGGAGTCCATTTCTTCGGTTTGTTGAGGATCTCCAATCCTTCCGCGCCATTTGTCCGCGATCCCGAAGATGATTCAGCGGCTCTGAGCGACCGGAGCGACACGTTCCTTGACGCGGAGAGAGTTTGCGATACGCCAACGGATAAATGCTTTCGGAGGGCAACGCTCGGTCGTCGACCGAAAACTTTTGAATTCTGGCTCCAAGCCAAATCCAAGGGATCAGGAGTGTTCGTCGCGCTCTTTTTCCAGTACCGCTTCCGAAGCTGGAAATCCAAGTCGCTGGAAGAGCGGCGGAAACAAGGGTAGTTTCAATAGACCGAAAAATTGAGCTAGAGAAGGCGTTCTGGACGACCGTCTCAGGTCGTCTATCGAACAGCGGCAGGGAGACTGCATGAAAGACATAGCAATGAGTATTCGCGATACGGAATAAGTCATATACGATTCAGGAGATGACGGCCGCGACCCTGAGGGGGAAGACGTTGATTTCGTCGAAGATAAGCATCGCCATTGTCTGGAGTCGTTCGCCAGGGGCTTTGTGTCTCGTTCTGACACAGTATCGAGCCTTCTCTTCGTCGGCATCGTCTGCTCCTCCAAGAAGAGGAAAACTCGCGCACGCTTTGCATGTTCCGTCCGTCCGAGCGGTCAATGCGTCGGGCGGACGGACGATGCTTCGTTCGTCGGAATTAAAAATTTCACGTTTTCCGATTTCGGTCCCCGGTCATGCGCTTCAAATCCGCTCGATGGTGAGGAGGTGAGCGCATATGAGAATGGGATCGCAAATGGCTTGATTCTTCCGAATGAGAAGCTATGAAGATGATTGTCCAGATAAGCCAATACAGATTTTTTAATCTCAACCAAGTACCGGTCAGCGGAACCTTTCGGAATTTTGATGGGCGGGTTAATTCTCGGAAGATCCCCCTGCTCAGGCGCGATGGAAATGAAATCACCGGCAGGAACACCGCTAGCACGTAATTAAACGATCTTTTTACGATCATTGATCTTTGAAACTGAATTATTCTGCTCAGTTATTCTCATTCTGTGTTCTTCCCTTCCGCGCAAGCGTCTGGCCGAAATGGACGAGCTACTTTCTAGACTTCCGTCCGTTGTCGTTGCTTTTAAAATGCCTCAAAAAGAGGAGGGTCAGAGCGGAATTTCGGGCTAGATAATATCATCAGAAAACTGTTCGTTCCGCCGCGGTCGTAACTAATAAATTGATGGTCGCGCGGACAAACGAAGAGAGGCGTATTACCACTTCTACGCTGGAGGAGCGACAGAAACTCCTCCTATCGGTTGATATCCCTATGAGTTGCGGAATTCCGCAGCGAACGGATCATCCGCGTTTCTCTCCAGCAAGCCCCGAATTCTTCATCTCGTGCTGGCGCATACATGGCAAAGATATAGTAAATGCGGCAACCGCAAGGAGCCGGCTGAGATTGGGTCGGTCGCACCAAGAACATTCTGGGACGAAGACCTAGCATACGGACGGCTTCTAGCAGCGAAGCCGGAACCTATCGTCATTCAGGCAAGTTATTATCGCGATTCAAGTTGAATAATCCATTGAGGAATGGGACAGGAGAACACTTATGAACATACAATAGGATACTTACGAGGGCAATCCATTTCGTCGGAGCCGTCTCCGCAGTCGTCCACTCCATCGCATTGCCACTTTTTGTTGAGACATTTCCCGCTGGCACACAGAAAGGTTCCTGAAAAAAAGAAGATGGATCCCTTGATATTTGTTTCTCGGATTCTCTTCCCCATTGCTTCTGATTGGTTCTGCTCCCCCAAACGAATAATTAGAGCACTCGAATTCTGATTTCTGGAGTCTGGGCGAGCGCCTAAGTGCCAAATAGCCAGGGAGTCAACCTTGCTTCAGAAAACGAACTCATCATTTTCGCACACTTCTGACTTCTCGAAGGTCGACTCGGTTCCAAGAGGTTCAAATGCGGTTTTTCTTTTGTGGATCCGTAAGGACGGTGATGTCAAGCGACTACTGTTCTGACTGAGCTGCAGGTAATGAGCTCTTTTAAGAAAAACGCCTTTTTCTGATGCCTTCGTTTTCCCCGAAGGTGTCGTCCTTAGCGTTCTAGCCTTTCTCTCCATGAAGAATGAGAATCGCGTTCCTCAGACCTGGACAAAACGAGTTCTGAACGGAATACGGACTAGACGGGCATAATTTACTGAAATTCCGATTTGCAAAACTGTTCGAGATTCGGAGAGATACAGTCAGCTCATGAGCTCGCCCGCCGAGTTTTTGAAGGAACTCGATGATCTGAGGAACGCAGCTCAGGCATTACCAATTCCACGATTCCAAGAAGCTCCTTGATACGCCGAAAGGACGATTCCAAGTTTTCCGACACGGATGCACCGATCGAATGGATGACCCAGGGATACCTGCCGGAAGCCGATAGCTCCCCTCATAAGACCGAGGAAATCGCAAAAATCAGCATGGGGACAAATATGCAAATCGGCGCAACGCTCAGAAGCGAATAGTGCATTAAGACGCACTTATGCGCCAGAAACAAATTACGAGCCGGCTTGGAGCGTCGGCGAACGACTCCGATTATTTCATTGAGGATCGATTGAACATATCTATGGAAACCGATGCACTCGGACGACACTTAATCGACAGACGGAACTCGGGCGGGCAGATTGGCGGAAAAGACGCAGTGAAGTAGGCATTCAGCCAGCCAGTCAACCAGACCGTCACTCACTCCCTCAGTCCGTCAATGGCAGCTGAACGGGCGGGCGGGCGTTCGAGCGGGTGGGCTTCATATGGACAGGAAGAGTTGTGCGTTCTTCTTCTGCAGCAGCTTCTTCTTCTTTACGGAGAGGTCTAGGGTCAGAGGTCTATCGCACCAAACAACTAATCGACTGGCTGGTGCCTCGGTCTGTTTTGCTGCCTAGCGACAAGCCTGTTTGCCTCCGATGACGACGCCACCGCCGCTCTGTCCAGCTAGCCACGTCTCTTCAAGTTAATAAAGCCAGAGAAGAATCAAGCGAGCAGCGATTCTGCATCGTTTTGTCGACGGCAGCGGCGGCGCTTTTAAGGGCACAACTGTTAAGAGACGCACTGTTCACTTTTGCTGCTGGGAAAATAGAATTTCCGGAACGGAAGATACCGGCAGATGGAGCGCCGGCGGCTCCGCAAGAAAATTCCAAAACTCTCGTCATTGCTGCATGTGGCGGCGGCGGCGCGGCGGTGCTGATAGCAGGTGAAAAGGGACGTTGGCGCACGTTGCCACAAGTGCCGGTGGTAATGGAGCCGAAATTCGAGGAACTACCGTTTTCCTTTCCGTAGTTTTTTTCTGCGAAATTCAGACGCTCAAACAGATTTGTTCATTCAGTCACTCCGTTCCTGCTCCTCCCGCGGCGGCTACGGCGATGGGTAGCGTTTACTACATGGTCATTATGCGTGCACACAGAACCACGAATAACTCGCAGCGAGTGTTTCAGTTCCTTCGGCAAACATGGGGTGATGACGTTGATGACTATATTTTATCCTGCTCCTCATCTCGCTCACAAACCAAAGTGTCTCAGACATTAACCCGAATCTACTCGGTGAGAGCCACTCGCCGATAGCCCCCTGACGTGCGCCCCGCGCGTTATGCGAATCCTGATTGAGATTTCGCCTACCGACGTGTTCCGTGCCGTTGCTGCGGTGGTTGTTCAGGAATCATACTTCGGACGACAATCGAGGCTTCTATTGGCCGAAACACGATGCTAGCAAATGTTTTCGAAAGGCCTGATCGCATACACATCTAGGGCTGGTGTGGATCACTCCGAGGCTCATTACCATCGGAGTGGATCGTTTAGCGATGGTAGAACGATGCTTGCTCACCGGGTAGGGCACCGATTCCTTTGATCTAAGAACAGTGATCGTAGCGGAAGAAATCGGCCCGGATCGGTCCGAACTTCCGATGACTCATTTTTTTGAGTCTCGGATCGATGATTGAATTTCGAAATGGAGACCGAATCATCGTTCGACTCGTCAGTATGAAAGGCTCGACCTAAGGAAGTATCTGAGATCGATGCGGGGTGCGGACAAGGTCATTCGAGCTCGGCGCACTGGTTCCTTGCTGTCGGAGGACGCTCTATAGAACGAATTCCACCGTGAAGGGACGGGTTGTCTTTGATTCGTATGTCGTAGCGAGGTTAAAAATCACAGGTAGACCCAGAGGGAAACGAAGAACCGCAGGAGATCCCAAAACGATTCCACCGAATCGGTCAGTATTCAGTATTCTCGGTCAGCCGCAGTGTGATAGCACGCCTCAACGAATTCAATTGGCGAGATCCTCATTCATATTCCGCTCTTCGATCTTCTTCCGTTTGTCGCCTCTTTCAGTCCCACATTTTCTCGTCCACAGGGTTGGTTGATTTCTCACATCGTAATTGATCAGAATGAGAATTTCAGATATCTGTAGATTAAGTCTGCGATTTATCTTCTCCGCCGAAAGTTTCCGGCTTCTAGCCGAATCTGTGTCAAGTGTTGAAATCAAAAGCAGAATGTGGAGCAGCGCAATTATTGAGATTTTCGAATACACAGCTTCATCGAAAAAATAACTGATTCTCCACAGTTCGGGTGGAGCATCTTCGCGGCAGCGGTCTTATCCATTCAGAAGTCATCACGAACCGAAGGGGACGATCCACGAGGAAGATTCGAGACCTTCACTGAAGAAGACAGAGGATGTTTGGAACTTACCGGTTGGGCAGGCGGGAACTTGACATACGAAGGGCAACATGGTCTCGCAGGAGGTCAGGCCCCATTCTTGCGTCCGTTCTCCAACCTGAGCATGAACGCATTGACCCTTCTCCGGTTGCGGCTGATCCAGAGACCAGTGACCAACGTACTTCGGGATGAAGTATCCTGAAGACGACTCCAATGTGTTTGTAGCGAGATCCTTGACTGATTTCAGACCGAGCCAGTAGGCATTCTGGGGCTGGTCTTTCAAGCCTTCGGTGGCCAGAGCCCTCGTGAAGTTATTCTGGTGGTAGTTGAGGACGAGCGCAAGTTGACTTCCATACCGACGACAAACCTCCTCGGCTCGTCGCCACGAGTGTTTGTTACTAAAAAACTTGAAACAATATACGCTGTCTCGAGTCCAACCTGGAAAAATGAAAGGACGTCCGTTTAGAATCGATTTCTGAACGGAAATAATTCGAGCTGGGGAATGAGGATGTCCCGCATGAACGTAGGACGTACGATTAAAAAAATCAGAAGTAATAATGAATGCCATTCAAGAATCTAATCCCTAGATCATGGCAGGAAGTGATAAAGAAAGCGCAGCAAAGTATCCGGCGATGCGGCCCGTAAATCCACCCTCGTTGGGTTCTGCGACGAGGTGTAGAACGTGACGAATCACTATCCGTTCGCAGTATATCACGCAGATTTCGCGTTTCGAGCCCACTTTTCCGGCTTCCGATGGTGATAGAAGGGATTGAGGCATCGTATACAGGAGAGTCGCTCCATCCGCCAGGAGACTCGATTCCAGACAAGGGCGCGGGGGGAGGATGAAACAGTGTCGCCGATGGACTGCTTATGACCGACTTATCAACGTACCGATTCTAGTCCCTATCGCAGATTGCCCAGCGGAATAATCAGGTTGCAACCCATTGATACTCTCCGAATTTTTTTTCCGATGCACCGAAGTTTTGGAAGGGTTTCCCCTCGTTCTTCTCCCGCGAAGTCCAGGGGTGTCAGACTTAAATTTTTGGCGGGTTACGTTCGAGCGCCGCAGGTGCCCGCGGGCCATATTTAAAACTCACTTTCGTACGAAAGGAGAATATATGCCTAGCGTCCATGGAAGAATGCTTTTCCAGCCTCCAGTGATCGAGGGAAAATTCGTTCGTTCGGTCTTCAGGAGCGATTCATGCCATCGATGTCATTCGATTTCCGAGCACTCATCCGAAATGGTCGGCTTCGAGTATGTGGGGAGATAGTGGCGGGCCACAAAAGAAGACCTCGCGGACCACATGTGGCCCGAGGGCCACGGATTAGACACCCTTGGCCTAGTCCCTTAGCTGACAGTTCTGCCCGGTCTACTCGCTCCCGGTGGTCGGAACGAGAGCTCTGGTCCAGAGATCGAGCCCAGAGGGGTTCGCGACGGGAATACTCTGGGATCCTCCGCAGGAATCGTCCCCCAGAGAAGCTGTGGTATGTCACCGGGAGGAAGATCCTCGGCTGACTCGGTGCTGCCGGCAGCGTCAAGCGGGCTGCATCCCAATGACACAAAGAAGCATTCTCTTCTGAGTTTCTCAACAGATGGAATGCCACATCAAGTGATGACACCGCCAGTACCCGCAAGAGCAAGACCGTTTCCGCGGGGAAGACGGACCTAGCTAGGCGACGGCTGCGGCGAAGGAGAACTCGGTGCCAAAACAACTGTCAACAACTCGACTTGGGGACAGGACACCGATAACTCGAACACTTGTCGTGCGTCAACACTCGTCCACAGGCATTCCGCCTATTTGGGGAGAGCCGGGATCCGAACCCAGAGGAATGACGGAAGGATCAAGGAGAGGTCAGGCGCTCTTGGCTTGGAAAGAGTGCGTGCCTGAGAGTAGGTTGAAAAATGAAAATATTGATGTCAGAACCTTCTCCTTCTTCCTTACCGCTTCCCTGCAGAGCTCGATGTTCTCTTTTGACATTAGCGCTACTGATTGTCGACGTGCCGATCACGTAGTGACACCGGGCTGTGCACTTCGTTCACTGGCGAAGAGACGCCCATGGTTCGGACATCAGGTGCCCCAGAGATGTTGAAATATCGAAAGAGCGTGAACGGCCAGGAGTTGAAAGGAAGCGCAGATTGTCTTACACTCGCGAGAAAAAAAACTGCGACGGAGTCGGGTCGAGCTCTTTGACTTGCACAATCGAGGCGAATGAAGGTCACCGCTGATATTTTGTAGCAGGAACTAGCGGTTAGAACCCCCCATTCCGGCAATCCAAGAGAAGAGAAGTGTGGGCAAAGCCCAACTTCTGAACTTAGACTTTTTTGTCGCGGTCTTCGGAAACACGGGATATCTGACTTCGCTTTCACTTCCTTAGCGAGCTACCAGCCACCATTCCATGAATCTCTTCTTGACGGGGAGAAAAAAATGTGTAAAAAGCTCCAGTGGTCCATAGATGGCAGATGTCCTTTTGCGGTGCCTGCAGCGGTCCATCATCGAGAACGCATCTAATGTGCTCGATGCGAGTTTTTGAGTAGTATTTCAGCTTCTCCCCTTTTACCCCAAAAATGCCGTTGTTTTTAGCCCAATCATTCAGATGATTCAGGAGCCTCGCATGTCCGCTCGTTAATATCAGAGACGATTTTCGACTTGGCTCGTTCAGAAAGCTCTAAACGGTGCGTATTATTACGGTCGGAAGATCTGGATGGGATGTTTCTACGTTGCTCGGAATGAACATGGATGGTCGCTCGTTGGAGTTTAAGTCGACCATTTGAATGAACGTTTCCGAAACATATCTACGCGCCCCATTAGACTTCGTGCTCACCTCAGGAAGACGACATACGAGGAGGCATCATCCGTCTAAACGATCCCGTCCATTGCGGATATTAGAAAACGCGCAAAATGTCGGAGAATAACCGCACTTTGGGTTCAGTGGGGGCGTTAAGCCTGCCGGTTTGCCTTCAACAGAACCAGACCATCAACGTCGGAACCATTATTTCTGCAGCGGCGGCGGCGACCGCTGCTGTACTTATTGTTCTTAAACAACATCAGCACCTACAACAAAGCCCGGAACGTCTTTGACTCGACGTACAACACATCAGCACCGCCTCGCATTCCGACACACGCGCTCGAAAATCAACAGTGTCCGCTAATTCACATTCTGCCGCTTCCCTGACTTCCAATCGATGAGAGAAGTGCGAAGGGAAAACGAACGACTGTGCGGATTCCGGAATGTTTGCGAAGTTCCCATTCGACGAATCGCTGCGAAGTGAAAGAAGAAGTCGACTGAAGGTCCCATACAAAGACGCGTAGGGAACCAAACGTGGGACGTGAAGAGCCGAAGGAGGTGCGATTTCAATTAGATATCAAATTGACCCGAGAAGCAAGAGGGCAAAACGGAGCATCTCGGAGCAAGAGGTATTCCGCTCTGAATGGGCAATAAAAGCCCTAAGAGCTTCCCTCCTTGATTGCTGCTCCAAGTTCCGGAAGGGCAAAGGTTTCACGGCGATCGAGAGTGCGGGCCAGTGGTGGCCGGACCGAGGCCCGCGGTGCGGACTCGGACCGAAGCTCTTATTTCGCTGACCTCCAAAAAACCAATACAGAGATTCTCCGACTTGAGATCTCAATCGAACGGCGACTCTCTCCGCACTTCTGTTCAACCGAAACTCGCGACCGAGGGCGGAATTAAGTCGTTCTTTGCGGTCTTATAATACCGCTTATCAAGAACGTGTGTAACAACAACGGTCCTCTCGGTAGAGAGAAAAAACAGGTCCCCGCACAGGATCCGACGTTGACGTAAAGGCTATCCGGAAGTATGTGGGGAACAGACCGGACACTTTGATTGAAATCAGCTCCCTCGAGGCTCTCCTGATTACCGCCGAAAACCGACCAGATCGTTGCGATCTAATTTCCCTGCCGCGAACTCCGTTCGAAATTCAAAACTCCACTCGCTCGCCTCCAACGCGAATCTTCATCCCTATGGGAAAATCTTGCGATTTTTCAATGCATTTGAAACATATTTACTGTGGGAACAGTATTTCAATGGCTCGATATTCCTGAGAAGCATTGCTGAATTCCCCAAGGGAATTCAAGAATGAGAGCAGCGACGGTGAAATCGGCACGAAGATGCAACGAACGAAAGAGTCCGGGCCAACAAATTGCTCAATGATATTTTCCTGATGCTTGAAGCCTACTGCGGTTATGCCTCGGCCATATTCACATTCCTGCTCCTCACACTGGTCAAGGAAGGCGGAGTTTCCAGCACAAGGAAATTGTGGCTCTTGATGGCTGAGCCGAGTCCGAACCCGACCCCTAATTTCATCTTAGTGAGCTCGCCACGTGTCAGGCCCGAGTTGGATCGTCGTCCAGGACACGGTCCTGAGAACATTGACAAGTCCAACTTCTTGAGAGATTTCCGGTAGAATTCTCAAAGTTTCTGTCGGGAGGATCCCGGGGATTAATGGAAGGGCATTGGTGTTCCAGACGGATATGAGCGACTGACATAGTAAACAAGCCCCGGAAGAAAATGGAGCCATTCCAGAGCTCACCCGAATTTTCGGCACAAAAATGCAGTCACATTAATTCTGAGTTTGGGGAACAAGACGGCGGATGGAAGTCAAATAATGAAAAAGGCTCCCGAGTCTCGTTGGGATCCCATGGTGGAAGCGATTTGCAAATTGATGAAGCTAAATCGGACACAATGCGATATCGACCCACGCGTGCCTCAAGAATATATTTGCATGCATTTCTTTCTATTCGAGGATGTATTCTGGAATTTAAAACGTACCATGTGGACAGTCGAATTGAGCAGTGACCTGAAATCAGGAGAAGAGACACTGTTAGAACCAATGAATCGAGCATGCTTTCTTTCTTCTAAGCAAATGAGATCGTCCCGAGTTGGGAAACTTCGGATTGAAACCCGGAATCCCCCCAATGCGCTTATCCTAGATCTCTGTTTGCCAGAAGCCCCTCCTTTCTAAGGCATCGGTTTTCACTCTCCGGAGCCGTTGAGCTCATGACCGAATTGGAAACGAGGCCAATCTGAGCGAATTAAATTGAATGATACGTAGCAATGTCGGTTCGAAGTTCGACGCCTCTCCCGATAGGAGCCATCGAAATGCATCAGAGGTGAAAGTTCGCTCTCAAAGATATCCTCCGGCTGCGGATAAGGCCCTCTCACACGTTCGCCTAGTTCTTTGCGCGAGGTCCTATGATCCAGACTGCACGTTGTGGCTCGGTTCCTGGAGATTCTCATGGAGCTCCTTGAAGACTGAAGACGGCTCGTCTTTCCGCTTTTAGCCAACGGATATTGGCGGATATTTTTTTTCGTCTTTTTTTCGGTAATTTCGTCTTGGTTCGCCTGATAAATCGTCTGTCAATATTTCTACTCATATTAATTCCGTCTGCATCGTGCCCGCCTGCTCGGGGTTGATGAACTTGGCGACCGATTTTCTCCGAGTTTCGTTTCGTCGGGAAAACTTCACTGCTGCGCCGCCGCCGCTACCGCTTTCGACGTCCGTGGCAGAAGCAGCAAGTAGCCGAATTAGAAACCCAAAAACAAATAGGGGTACTTTTGTAAGAGCGCTCTGAAGGCGACGATATCCCGCTCCTGGAGCTTTACACGAAAGAATAATAATTCTACGGTAGCTGTCAACAGTTGTCTTCTCATAGTCGTTGACTGACGGTGTCCCAAAAGGGTGGAGGGTCATCCTCCCTGGTTTTAACTGAATTTTTCATTCGCTCGTTCTTGCATTATCCGGTTCTACATCTCTTTAATGAATCACTCCGGAGATAACTCCGACTGGAAAAGCAAAGGTCACCGAGATCCAATCCTCGTGTCGCAGCGGAGTGCCGTGAACTTGTCGCGGTGCGGCGTACGCTCTTCGATTCTCCGATAAGGTTCCTGTATTTCCCTACGTGCCAACAAGACATAAATCTGAATGTTCAACCGACGAGTTATCCCCGTCGACCGTTTCGATACTGATTCCGATCCCGGAGTTCAGCAGCGAGACGATAGCGTTCTTCTTGAGCTGTGGACGTTTTCCGGAGCGGAGTGGATTTTCGCGAGTTCAGCAAATTTTCTTGTTCCGATTTTCCAACACTGGCGGCTCTGCTTCCGATCATTGGGTGGGATAGCGATCACGCAAAAGATAATCCTTTGCCTCCTGTCTGTTCCCCATACCGTGGCCTGTCGTGTCAGTCTTCCACGGTGCTGCGGCGTTGCCACTCCGATTCACGCCGATATTCCGCTTCTTTTCTTCCCCGATGCGCTTTCGCGGTTCGCGAATTGCCGTCTTCTGCCTGATTTTCACACTCGTGCGAGCAGATGCCGCTGTCCATCATCGCCGAACTCACGCATTGTGCGAGGGAAGAGACATTTCGTTTGTTGTTACGAGCCGTTAACTCGCCGCCGCCACTGCTGCCACTGTTCGATGATCGAGAAAATTCCCTCGCTGGTGGTGTGTGTCTTTCTGTTTGACCGGTAAGCTCGGCGGCTTCGGATGATCGCGTTTGCCTCTCCGCGGTCTTGGTGACCCTCGTGTCGGATCTCGATCTAGATTCTGATCTAGGTGCGGGGAAGATCCTTCCTTTCAAAACGCACTGGGCCAAACTTTTATCGCCTAAATGGCGCTGGTGATAAGCGACCACGTATTTTCTGTCTCTTCTATATCTCCATTCGCTAAGCGAGTGAGCGCCCGTCTGTCTGACCGTCCGAACGAACCACCAACCGACTGAGTGACTAGGTAGCTCTGGCTCAATCCATGTGACATCCAGAAGACGACCACCTCATTCAGTGGTGATGATGTTGAGCGCTTGCAGTGAAGGGGACATCTTCAGTTATCCAGAAAATGGCTTTGCAAATGAACACAAAATGGATGTCCAGAAGTGGTATTTCGCGAGAGCCTCGCAGAACGTTGGGCACCACTCAAAAATGCCATCCTTAAGAGTGATATCTCAGTCTGGTCGAAGCTCCGGGCCGTATTTTCGGCGTTTCTTCCGTTTCTCTCGCGTCGAAACTCACGTCTAGCGACGGCCGAGGGCCGCCGTATCGGTAGGTCCCGTCAGTTTCTGATTGAACGGACCTGCCGACCGGATGACTGGCGGATGGACGAGCGTCGAAGACGTAGGGGAGTAGGGAGGAGGAGGGGGAATTATTGTCGACGTTTGTTAATTGCTGGAAGTGTGCCACTGAGATCCACTGGCCCATGCAGTCCAATCGGCAGCTTCAACATATCCGAAGCCTCGCTAGGAAAGCTTCTGCCGTTTCTATCAACGTTGTCTTTCTGCCGCCGGCCGGCCGTGTGGAGGAGGAATCCTCCCATGGGTTTCTCCCATGCTAGCCTCGACTGCCTTGCAAGTAGCTTTCTGGCTCGCTCGCTCACTTGCCCGCTCGCCGACGGACCAGCCCGCTAGTCGACCGACTACCCGGCGAGCGGGAGCCGTCGTCGTCGACTTGTTGTGGGAGAATCGCTCCGACATCCTAGCCTAGTTACCAGAAATCGTCAGAAAAACCAAACACGCAAAACACGCGCGAGAAAAAGCTGCTCCCGCAGCCGACACGGCTAGCCCAGCTCAGGCCGATACGACGTCGACTACAACAAGTGGTGAAGTGCCCACACAGATGTAGTAGCCTGTCCTTTCGGATTCCTCGGCGCTTCCATTCACAGGAGATAACGGCGAGCCTCAGCCTGGCTCGCAATTCCCCCTGGCTCTGATTTATCTGCCTAATCGAACGCGCTCCAATCAAACTATCTCTGACAGCCCGCGAGATGCTCCTTTTCCCGATGGTTTCCTCCGGCGAGATTCGCTAGAAAGCTGCTGGATCGATCAGGTGGTAAATTCACTCGAGCTCTCACCGAAATTCTTGCCGAAATCCGCGGTCATCGTCGCGGTACGACCTGTCGCGCGCTCCAGAAACACTTTGTGATCCCGGCTCTCGATAGGAAGACACGCGACATGCGACAGGTTTTTTCTTCCTGATGGGGCGAGCGGCTGCCGGGCTAAGCGGCCTGCCTACTCGGTTCTCTGGCTTCGGCCTTGCTCATTGTCGCTCATATTCGCTCATACCCGTCTGGAGCTCTTGCCCCAAGAGCAACGAGAGCTACTTTCCCCGCATTTCACAGCCAGGCAGAAAAAAGAGTGACTTCAGAAAAAAGATTGGGAGGGGCTCTCAATTGGTTCGCTCGGTCATCCGTTCACTTACGGACACTTACGCAACTCAGAATCCATTCAGAGTCGGAACGAAGAAAAGAATCGAGCCCCGCCAAACCCTCCAGTGTTACGACCACTCGCATTCTGGTGACGTCTGGCTTTCGAATTGCTCAAGTCGTCGATTATCTAGTTTGAGTTTGTGTATATCGGGAGGGGAGTTTCAACCATCCGGTCGTCTATTTCTCCATATAAGAGAGTCACTGTCAGACAGAACGCGTGGTTGAGTGTTTCTAGATTGACTGACTAGAAAGTGAGGGTCGTATTCCTAAAACAGCAGACTTATGGACGGCCTTAGCCTGTCACGCTCACAAAACGTTTGTCACCGTTCGAGCAAGCAACCGATCAACCGAAAGAAGGGGTCGCGGCACTCCCATCGTGCTCAAACAAATCCTGGAATCTTTACGCTTGTCAGACAGGGTTCCGATCCTCATTCGAACAAGTCTCGAGGGAGGGAAAAGGAAGAGAACGGCACATGACTCACGTTCGAACTGAATGAGAAGTCTCGCGTTTCTCGCTAGATTCTTCGATTAAATTCAATAGTTGATATTCGGAGTGAGTGGGCATGACGGCGAGCGCGTGCCAAGAAGACGAAGGATCGAATCTCGAGGGTTCGGTTGGCCCTTCCCGCGGTATTGTTCTGATGGCGATTTTTTGAAGCGAACTCAGGTACGGGTCTGCCAAAACCACACCTCTCAGAATTTCTCCAATGGAGACGAGCGATTTCTCTGCTCCCGTGAATCAAGTGCAGAGTCCTTGGAAATCCGAAGTGTTTGTTCCGCGAAATCGATGCAGCATCCAACGGACCTGATTGACCGACTATTGGAAAATATCGACGAAGTCAAATCAAAGTCTCTTGTAGAAATCCCGGGGTGAGTTTCATTCACTGAAGGAGTTGTGGACGACTATCCCGAGAATGTTGTCGGGACGCTCAGCCGATCATTCAGAGGAGGGGATGCCTCCAAGCTTCGAACGAGCGCTGGGTCAGGAACCGCAGCACTTCACCGGTGGATGCTCAAGGAATCTCCTCTGAGGGGTCTGAGAAGACCTCAATTGGGGTGAGGGATTCACGACCGCGGAAGTTCCGACAGAAACCCGAGCGAGACACGGGGAAGCCCAGGGGAATCCGGGAGCTTTCCGCGGGTGGCTCGTCGTCGGATTTGAACCGGAGACCTCCCGCTCGATACGGTTCCGACACGTTTGATAGAGAAGTGCATGCGATGTGCAGACCGCTCCGACTTTCCGAGTACCCGTCGGTAGAGCTCCGATGTCGCCGAGCGCGTTCCCTGAACCGATAAATTTTGTAGTTCCGTGGATGACCCGGAGATATCGAACGCATGGGAGGTGGAGAAAAAGTTACACATGGAGCAAACAGGAAAATCAGGTTTGTCCTATCTTGGACCTTTGACTGCAATCGACTACGACGGCGGCAGCGAGTACAGCAGTCCACAGCGAGAGATATAATAAGGTGTCACCTGAAGGTCAATGGAACTGTGTCACCGCAACCACACCGGCATCGTCGACACCGCCAATGGCCGCATCGCCGGTCGAAGACATCGTCGATGTACGAACGTGGCACAGAAAGCAGTTTGGGCAGATTTTCACT